TGAGGTTTCGTAAAATAAACTGAACTCGCCTTCAGGCCATAGCAGTACACAAAGTCATTTAAATATTAATTTTGTTCCATAACTGTAGCACTCAACATAGTAAAAGAAGGAATTCGAAATCGAAGTACAGGAGTAGATCAGCTGTTATCAGAAGGTTGGCACTATTATCATGTGTCACTGTTCGTAATGTTTTGGCTCATGATTGTATGTTCAAATCAATAAAATATTAATAATTATAAAACTAATTATGCTAGAACCATTAAACTTCGCTCATCACATTTATATACAGTGTGGGCCAAAGGTCTTAACACCCCTATATAATATAATTTTCTATTTCAGATGGCTACCAAGAAAATGATGGTGTTCATGAAGACCTCGATGTGCGATAGTGAAAATGAATAAATTGAATCCACCACATCTGCTTTGTATTACTGTATTACTTGTTCTCCTATTATTCTCTTTACTTTTTGGTAGGCAAGGACAAGAATTTCGATCCACACTTTAGAAAAGCTCAATATCTAAGAGTTTATTACTCAGTGTCACATTTTATTATGCAAGTCAATGTTTTTAAAATAAGTAATCAATGCCCATAAAATTATAAAGATATAGATTTATATGAGCGATATATCATATGTGTGTAGAATAAAAATAATAAACAGCACTTACCGGCGTAAGGGTCCCAGCTAGCGTCCAGTTGGCAGACAAAAATAAAGCAGGTTGTAACTCAATACAAACCCTGCAAACTAACTGATGAATCAAGCTGGTATTTATACAGAAATACCTCCACTCATGTACCAGCAGCCAATCACAGCCCAAGCAATGGACTATCCCACTTTAGCACAATGAGATGCTCCATGGCACCATAAATAGCTCTCTTAAGGTTGAGTTATTATTCACTCAGCTTGCTCCACAACTGAGTGTTTATCTCGACCACGTGATTTTTCTACATGGAGCTGCGAACAGGATATATGACACCCAAAGATTGGGAACTCTTCTTCATTGAAGCAGGCATATCCACTGACTCGGCCAAAACTCATGCAACAAGGTTTGCGGACGAGAAGCTGACAATCGAGAGACTTCAAATGCTGGATCGAGCTATGCTTAAGGAGCTGGGAGTCACATTAATGAGGGAAGCCCTGTGTATCATCAAGCAGGCTAAGGAAGCCACCACCCAGACAACCCACATTCAGGCACTAGCAGCCAAGGCTCCCCATCTCAATCTCAAGATGACACCACAGCAATTCAAAAAGTTCCGAATTGACTGGGATGTCTTTACCAAGATGACAAATATGCCAAGCTCCCAAGCTAATATTCACTTATACAATTGTGCTGATGAGACTGTGCAAAACGCCATAATCAACACACACCCTGACTTTTTTACCACTGATCCAGATAAGCTACTTGACATGGTAGAAGCATTGTCCATCGTCTTGCTTTTGCCTCCATGTCTCAGGATGCGGATGAGCCAATACAAAGTTACCTTGTCCGCCTCAGAGCCGTAGCTGTTGATTGTAACTTTACCTGCCCCTCGTGTGAGCATGACCTGTCTGATATATACATCAAGGACCAGATCATCCATTGAATAGCAAATGACCCAGGCTGACCTACTGGCCAAAGCTGGGGCACTTAAATCCCTTGAGCAAAATATCCGTCATGCTGAGGCATTCGAATCAGCATTGCGAGACCAAACCTCAATGGCCGGCGCTTCAGATACAGCTGCTGCTCGGCTATCAACATACCGCAGACAGAAGGGTACACCACAAGCCAACGAGGGGATCCATACCAGCACCTATTGCAACTGCAATGTTAAACCAAACCACCAGGCTTGCTTAGGTTGTGGCAGCCACCAGCATGGCACCTTAGGAACTGGATCCCGCCGGCTAAAATGCCAAACATGTAGTAATTGTGGGAAGCCCAATCACCTATCGAGGGTATGCCGGGCTAAGAAACTGGCTCAAGCGGTCAGGAAAAGCCCAGAGGGTAATGAAGCCGCCATGGACACACTTATCGCCAACATCACATTCAATCAAACGACGGGCACGTATACATCTAAAGACACAGGCCAGGTAAGGGAAATTAATGTTGTTCTATTCTCGCCAAAACCGGATCCCAGACAAGTTAAGAATATCCCCAGAAATCACAGCACTAGGATGACAATCTTTCCCGACAGTGGGGCCACCATATGTCTCAGGGGGACTTAAGCACCTTCTGAATATGGGGCTTACCACCAACAACCTCATCCCATCAAGAAAAGTCGTCCGAGCTGTGGGAGGCTTTACACTCGTATGTCAGGGTTGGTTCCCCGTGGAATTCATCGTCCAAGGAAGAACAACTAAACAAGCCCTATACATATGCAAAAAGATTCAGCGGCTATACTTCAGCAAAGCAGCCTGCATTGATGTAGGGATACTGTCCAAAGTCTTCCCGAAGCCGACGACAACAATATTACCCCAAACAGCAATGCAACACGTGCCATCGACAAGCACACATAAAAAATCAGACGCGAGCGCCAAACAATGCAAAGTCGAGGGACAACTTCCAACACGCCCCCCAAAAAAACCCTTTCCCCCAACAGAACAAAACATTGATAGGCTCAAGAATTGGCTATTGAATCAATTCGCCGAAACGGCGTTCAAAAACAATGGTGAATTCCCACCGATTTCTGGCCCCACTGCACATATACACCTCAAAGAAGGAGCAGTCCCCAAAGACAGACATAACCCAATTCCTGTGCCTTTTCACTTCAAAGAGCCCGTAAGGCAGGCCCTTTGGGAAGATGTGAAAAGGGGTACCATAACCCCAGTACCCGTCGGCATGCCCACTGATTGGTGTAGCACTATGGTAATTACCGCCAAGAAAAATGGCAAACCACGAAGAACTATAGACTACCAACACTTGAATTCACAGTGCAAACGGGAAACACACCATACAGGGTCACCATTCCAGCTAGCACTACAAGTGCCACCGAATCAAAAGAAAACAGTGTTGGATGATGTTGATGGATATCACTTTATCCCCTTAGATAAAGAATCCCAGCCACTCACCACCTTCATCACAGAATGGGGAAGGTTCCTGTACCTGAGGATGCCACAAGGTTACCTAGCATCTGGCGATGCCTACACCCGAAGGTATGATGAAGTAATAAACGACATCCCCCGCAAAGTAAAAATCGTAGATGACACCCTACTCTATGACTCTGACATCGAAGGAGCCTTTTTTCACACCTTCGATTTCCTCTTCCATTGTGCAAAAAACGGCATCGTACTCAATAGAGAAAAATTCCAATTTTGCCAAGACACAGTGCAGTTTGGGGGCCTCCAGATAACATCCTCTGGTGTAACCCCTTCTAAATCCATGCTGGAGGCGATATTAAGCTTCCCAATACCAAAAACACTCACCGATGCCAGATCATGGTTTCGGCTGGTCAACCAAGTCGCTTGGGCATACTCACTGAGCCCAGTCATGCTTCCATTTCGTGATCTCGTAAAACGAGACTCACACTTTATATCGAATAAAAGCCTCGAGGATGCATTCCAGCATTCAAAGAAGGTCATAGTTGACTTAGTCCGAAAAGGCATCGCAACATTTCAAAAAGGACGAATAACCCGCCTTGCCCCAGATTGGAGCAAAGACGGAATGGGCTTCCTACTTCTGCAGAAGTATTGCTCATGCACCACCGATAAAGCCCCAGTTTGCTGCCCTGAAGGTTGGTGCCTGATATTTGCTGGTAGCAGATTCTGCATTGATGCTGAGCGCAGATATAATAAGCTTATGTTATTTATCCTTATTTTTAAGAGGTCGCGAATAATCTGTTTTATGGAGGCGATGATGCCACTATGGGCAAGCTGAACTTCGGCGCCCTTAAATGTATATTTTTTGAAAATTTTCACAAGTAGAAAATTGAAAATGTCGAATAACGAGTTTATTAAAAATACAACTTAATACACACTAAAAAAACATTTATTATCCTACCTAAAACATATTTTTCTATCCATTAGCTCTGCAAATCTTTTCATGGCACTGTCTACACCTATTTTCTTTAGAAGATTATTTTCTATTGACAAAATAGCCAAAAACGACCGCAAGTATGTTTGTACAAGGTTTAGTTTCGAAAAGCCCAAATACATGAAATTGGGGCATTATGGCAACTACGGACTTGATAGCACCCTGAGTAACTGCCTGAGTTGCCAGTAACTTGAAGCGATAGAGGTTAGGTTTTATTGTGCAAAATCTGACATTAACATTATACATAATCTTAAAAATCCAATAACTTGATGTTGAAAGGTCACTTGCTTTCAGTGAGTGTTACAAAATGATTATTAAAAAGGCATTTGCTGTCAATCAACATGCACCAAATAAAATAATATTGTCTTTAATTTACATCTCCCCAACAAAGTTGTAATTATCATTATACGTCAATTTGCCTGACGTTATTATATCATACAACAATAATCTGGGCAAAAGAATATGCAACAGACAGGACAAAAATAATCAAAGCTTTTGGTAGTCTACCAAAAGCTTTTGAAGAAATTACACGCGAAACAAAAACACCAGAATCTATAAAGCCATTATGACGTCTTCCCATTCTATATTCTAAAGAATCAATGAAATTTCCTATCGGGTGTTTTTTGATATTTATTTCAAAACCTATAAGAATTCGACATGTACAATATTGTTGGAACAAATTAACATCACTGAAAAACTTGGAGAGCCTAGAGAGAGGTAAATATATAATTTTCAAGAAAGTCTCCAGTTTTACAAGATAGCCTTGGAAATCCCAACATTACAGATCTCCCAGCAGTTCGACAATATCTTGCTGACAGACTGAACTCAAATCGTTGACTCTGGAAAACGTGAAGAACATAAAATTGTGCAAATACGTGATTTTTCAGGAATGTTACTTCAGCAGTATATACCCAACACAATTACAGATCTACAATCAATTTGTTAATACCCTACTGACAGACTGCTACCATAACTGCATATCCTTGTCACAACATATGCACGCTACCGTCTTCCCAAAAGTGAAGTGGATATGAATGTTCCCAGGTTTAAATGAGGCGCAGTAACCAATTCTGTGGTGTCAAATGTGATACCCTTGTTGGTCGATGTCTTGAATATATCAAGGACAGTATAGTGTGTTAGTGGAATACTATAGAGTGCATAGATGGATTGATATTCACCAGCGTTGAATAGAAATATAATTTGATGCCAGGTTCCTGTTTGTTATGTGGCTAACATTCTGAACAATAAAGTATATGCAAATAGTACAGAACTCTCAAAACAAATATGAGAACTTACAAACACAAACCAAGATAAGTCTAAAAAGACATAGAAAATAAAGAAAAGAACACCAGTATATGACAACACCTTAGGACCAATTAGCATTTCCTGGGGGAGTATATAATAATAATAATAATAATATCCTTTTCTAAACATTATAAACTCATAAACAAAAAACTAGAATATATCCCTAATGAATACACAAGACCAATTTTTTTTTTGTTTTTTAATTAATTGCTGGTAAAAAAAATTTATTGCTGGTAATATTTTTTTTTCAATAATCTATTACTGGTAATGATTCTTTTCCAAAAATGCATTGCTGGTAATAATGTATTTCTTGGTAATAAATTGTTTTCAAAAATGTATTACTAGCATTAAAACCTATTTTTACACGTTCATAGTGTTTTGACCCCATTTTGTGTGTTAACTATTTGCCCATAGCTGGATCCCCTAACAGGTGCTACCACACCTGGTCAGAGCAGACTTGGGAACACCAGCAATTATGAGATGATTCCACGTTCCACAAAACATCCAAATCAGAGGCCTTACTTTCGGTTGTAGGTTATCGTCATACCCAGGACGCTTCATTTTCTTAACCCTCTGCAGGGGTACAGGCGGCTTATACTGAAGACCTAGCCGACAGGTCAAAAATAAATAAGAACACACAATTTCATAACTGTCTATATTTCTTATATGAGGTATTGTAATTATACATTATTTACATTGTTTTGACTCTTGTCATCATCTTTATTGCCATATTCACGACGTTTCGGCCGTTGTACGCTCCAGCCTTCTTCAAGTAATTAGACACATGGCCCCATTGGATAAAAAGCGTTGGTTGGATCGAGTGACTTGACCCAAAGAGTTGTGAGTTCAATACCTTGTGGCGGTCTTCCACCACATTTATTTCATTTTGATTAGGAAACCAAACTGATGTGAAGGAAAAGGCAAAGGTATCACCATATATAAAAATTGCATTCAACAATGCATACCATAAAGAATGTGTAAGAAAAAGCATGCAATGAGTGAAACGAGAGTTGTCTCTCTTTGACTATCAAAGTTCTCTGTAAAGGAAAGAGTTAATTGTTTGTTATGAATGTTTTTTAACAGTTTTGCTGTATGTAAGCGTAAATGAATATGCAGTTTGTGAGTTGAGTGAGAAGATCGGCGCATAGCTTCAACTCTCGTGGATTTCTGTGGCAGCTAAAGTCTCACTATTGCGTCTATGCTTTTCTCTTGCTTTTAAAAGTGATCATTGGATCAGGAGTGCTGCGCGAGAAGAATCACTCTTCACGTGCAGAGAATCCGATTGGTCGATACTGACCAATCAGTAAATGAGCTTTGAGGAGATTTCTAGGAGCCGATTCTCCCAAAAGTGCACAAAATCTACTATACGAGAACATAGCGATTTCAAAATTGTCGCATAAGACAGTTGCGTTGATTTCTATCCAATGAATGATTGTTATTGAAATTTAAATTTGTGTAGGTATGCATATGTGTGTCATGATGATCGCTATAACCTGACTACTGCAGCGGTGAACAATAACCTGGAGAGTTAAAGGGAGATAACTGAGACGTGGAACTAAAACAATTTACTCAGGTGGACGAAATAAACGGTTCAATTCGAAATTCTAATCACCTGAAGAAGGACGGAGCGTACGACGGCCGAAACTGTGAATTTAGCACTAATGATGAGGACAACAGTCCGAACAATGTAAATAATTACTCAGTTTCATTATTATAAAGAACATTAACCTTATAAAAATGCAAAAAAAAATGAGAAAAATCGGTTTCTCATTATGTTCCTTATGATCCATATATAAAATCTAGATAAAGAGAAGTAACACATGGTCTCATACCCGGTTAATGTACAAAACTGAGCCAGAGTGTAATATTGATTTCTCTGTCCATAATAGTTCTATCTATCTATCTATCTATCTATCTATCTATCACCATTTTTGACTATTTACACGCAATTACTAAATATAACGAATTTATATCCTGAATAGTTAGCCGTATACATGATATTTATCTGTAAAATTAGCGCAACACAATTTTCTTCATCGACATTTGTCCTTGGGCCGTACTAAGCTTAGTCAACGTTACATATTCATCTTAGTTTGGAACAAGGTCAAAGCACTTAAACAGCACTAAAATTACAAGTAACTACAGTTGCGAACTGGTCTACAAAATGCGATTCCTCAACATTGCTTTGGGGCAAGTAAAGAAGTTGTGAATTTTTTAATTCCAACAAGATATTTCAAGGATAATAGACTGAATCTCAATAGGAATTCGAATTGTTGACATAGTCGTTTCTTTTTCTCTTTGCTACTAAATATGACGTCATTTCTCCCCTTCATTGACCTTCAGTGACATCGCGATGTTCATGTGACCAATATTTTCCTCTGACATTCGACATTTATAAATCAAGTGTTTAGCGACAATGTCAGCTTAAAATCATATCTGTCAATTTGTCATAAAACGATATGTCGAAAAAAAATTAATGCATTTCTTATACAAGCGATTTTAATTTGTTACTGAAAATAACAACCATTGTTACAAACAGTGAGAAAAAAATAACCAAAGCAAACAACGATTAAGAATCTCAACAAAATGAAATATGAAGAAATTATTGACGATGTTGGCGGTTGTGGGCTATACCAAAAGCTTATTCTGACTTTATTGTACTTAATACCAATTGTTAATGGTCTACATGTTGGTAGTTTAGTGTTCATCGTACCAGAAATACAACATAGGTAAGTTATAATTTGCTTTTAATTACACATATGATATCTTAGTAGCATCACTGAATTTTCTTGATTTGCAAGTAACAGTAAAATGACAAAATATTACTATGAAAAGATTATTTGCAAAGAAAACTTTATTAATGTTTTATTCATAATTGTATGCAATTAACAGAGAAGAATGCTGATGTTTATAAATTTAAACAAAAGTATATTTAGTAAGAATAGATTATTATATAATAGATTGACAAAAGTATAATTTAGATTATGTTGTTCATTTTTTTACGGTTATATATATATATATATATATATATATATATATATATATAAGATAGAGTGCATTCATAGATATTTACTAAGCTTAAATTTGTATGAAAAAAAACTAAGTTGTTATGAAAAGAAATAAGGGAGGGCAAAAAGGTAATGGTTTGTATATCTTTCAAGGTGGGAGGATGTGCTTAACTTGAAGTCAAATGGCTACTGTTATATTATCAACTAACTCGAGTAACGAAGAGAATCATCTGATAAATCATAAAATCCTATTAAATTATTCATGTTTTGTTGAATTTAATACACATTCTACTGACTCGTAAAGTTTTAATGTAAAATATTTAAAATGTTGAACAGATGTGACGTGGGATGACATGCTTAGCTGCATCAGATACAAAACCGCAAGTCCGATGAAACAGTGAAGCTACATATAGTTACATTACAAAACATTATACTTTATAAACATACACTTGACATAGTTATTGGCAATGTAAATTTGAATTTAAAATATTTCCTTCAGTGATATAAACATGATCACATTTATTCTTGCTTATATACTTCAAACAGTAAATATGTATTACTTAAACGTTATTTTTAATGGCTACACATATTTGAGTAGACGCTGTGTTTTTTTGTTGTTTAGAAACACTCATCAATACTTACACTGCTAAGGTAGGATGGCATGCTTCACTGCATCCGATACAAGACCGCATGTCACAATGAAGGGAAATGTAGTTGCCTTTAAAAACATTAACATAGTCACTGACAATGCACAAGTGAATTTTGAATATTAATTCAGTGATATAAATGTGCGCCTTTGTAAATGTGCCTCAAGCAGTTTATATTATATATATATATATATATATATATATATATATATATATATATATATATATATAAAAGTGAAAGATTGAAGTCAACACTCAGGGCGACAGGCTGGACGCAATCGCCAGGCGGCCTGACGATTGCGTCCAGCATGGAACAGCCTGTCGCCTCTGAGTGTTGACTTCAATCTTCACTTTTATATTTATATTTTTTTCAATGACTTCAATGTTCACTTTTATATTTATATTTACATACGCTCTATCTCTGATGGTGAGCACTTTATCCCATAAATATAGCACACCTTAAAACTATACTATTTCTCTTCATATATATATATATATACCTTGCAGCCTCTATTCTACCTCTCTATTATTCGGGTGAACAAAGAACATTCAAACACACTCGCAAATGCATATATACATCTATAAATATATATATATATATGTGTGTGTGTGTGTGTGTGTGTGTGTGTGTGTGTGTGTGTGTGTGTGTGTGTTTCCATGTTTTGATATTTATGCGTGTATATGAGTGTGTAAACGGAAATGCCAAAAATTAGAGCGAACTGCCAAAAACCTTGCTGCTTCTCTCTTCATCGAATTAACAGCGACTATGCATTATATAATAGAGGCTGCAATGTAGCAGTCTTTACATAAGCATATCTATTCAGTTACCTTCCAGAGCTATCCATAAATGAGTAGTGTTTGTTTTGAGTGTCTGCAGATAATTTAGCAAATATGTTCAATTGGAATTAAAAGAGAGTCTGTACACCATATTCGGTCATGTATTCTTTTTCAGACTATCTGTACGCAATGATCTTAACTTCCAGGTAAAAAAACTATCACTACCAAAAAAGTAAGTATAAAAGAGTGCAAATCCTCTATACGTATATGTCACCATTCAAAAAAACTTCACCTTCATTTGCGATTCTTGTGACCAGCAACAATACACTTCCCACAACATTACAGAGCTACCGTCAGCTGACTAACTGGACCAATATCCTCGTGCCGTCTCCTCGAAATAGGCACTCGACAGTTTGCACAAAAGAACTGAAAATGTGAGCAAACAGTTCACACAACACAAGAACCGCCGCCTTTCAAAGTTTAATAGCGATGTTCTCAGGTCAAAGTGCGACGCAGTAACCGATATTATGGTGTCAATAATGATAATCTTGTCTGTCGATATCTTGGAAAAATAGTAGAATGCGATTTATACTGTGTAGGTTTTGACTGGTCTTCACCAGATTGAAGTGAGACATTATTTGATGCCATTCTGAAGAAAAATACGAAAATATCATTACACTCGCAACACCAAGGTGAAATCTCAAACACCACAAACCAAAACATACTACAAATGACACGAAAATAAGAAAAATTGTCAGATTACATAACAATACTCGATTTTAATGAACAATATAAACGTCTAAGCAAATGACAGTGGGCATTTCCAAATGCATACACGAAAAGAAATTCATAATTCGTTATGCATACTATTCGGACTATTGTACTCATCTTTGTAGCCATATTTATTACAACATTTCGGCCGTTGTACGCTTCGGCATTCTTCAGGTGGTTGGAATGTCGAACTGAACCCTTTATTTCGCTCACTGGGGTAGACTGTCAATTATCAGTTATCTCCTGTTAATTCCCCCTCTCCAAGTTTTCCACTGCCTTAACCAGGTATTGAACTCACACTCTTTGAAACTGGATCTAACCAACGTCTTTACCCACTCTGTCCTTGAGGACATCTGTGTATTTCTGAGTATTATAAACCTAATGTCTCAGCATCTTTTTTACCAGTGCTCATATTGCAATTTTTGCTGTTATCATTTCATGATTTTTCTAGAGCTAGTTCCCATATTGTATTCATTTCTATGCTTGGTCAGCAAATACAGACAGATAATTCGTTATATAGAACCACGTAACGTCTCCAATGACTAAATAACAAATAAATCACAGACAAAACTTAATAAACTGTGTTTGAGATAACAAACTTTAGAACCGGCATATGTGTACAAAAAGCGAATCAATAAAGAAATTATTAAATAAGTTTTCTTTAGTTATTTTCTTATTCCCTCTGTGTGTCGACTTTTACATCTGCCTTTTTCTTCTTATTTTTCTCTCTGTTACTAAATGAAATAATCTCGTTTCATATTTATCAATTGAAGATCGCCTTAGCATGAAAGTCAGAGTCCCTGAGCACTTCTTGGAATTTTGTTGACATATATATATATATATATGTTTGTCTGACGATCGCTAAAGCGTGAAACCCAGGTCACAAACTCATCTATCCAACCAAATATATATATATATATATATATATATATATATATATATATATATGTGCGTTTGCATATATATATATATATATATATATATATATATATATATATATATATATGTGTGTGTGTGTTTTACGATCATTATTATGTTTCAGCTACAGTGTTTCGCATATAAATCTATTCATTGTACCAGTTTCTTTTAATTGTAATTCAGTAATACTTTTTTAATCAGAAGGTTATCTCAAAATAGACAATATAAGTTATTCTGATTGTCTCCTTAGAAGAATGAGATATATTTTAAACGAAGAAATTTAAATATCCTTTATCATTATAAAATTTATTTTTTATTGATAGGCAAATTTTATTTTATGTATAAGTGATTTATACAAATAGACTTTTATTATGTGGGTAAGGCTTATACAAAATTTATACCATTGCGTAGACAATTTTATAAGATTTTATTCTGTTCTTCAGTTAGTGTTTTTTTTAATTATTTCACACTAAGCAAGACATAAAATTCAATTAGACGCAAGGAGTTACTGAGAGTAAGAGAATATGGGGATAAAATATTATGAAGGAGAGAAAACAATAAAAGAATAGAAATTAAGAAGAAATAATCTATTCTGTATTCATCTTCCTCTTGTCCGTGTCATTTACATTCAAAATTTGAGTCTCATTGCTGTACACAGCTTTCTATCCTGTGTGGCCCTTAGTGGCATATCTCCTTTTGTCAAACTTCTTTCGACCTCGTTCCACCATCTATTCAAACACGCTCGTCAGGTAAGGGACCCGTTGACTCTTTTGCTTTCTATATGCCCTGTGTGGATCAGTCTCTCCAACCCCTCTTTCCTTATAATGTGACCAAGGAACATCAGCTGTCTCTTTCTGGTTCTTGGCATAACTGTTCTTTTTGTTATCATTTCCTTTAAGACGTTCTTTCTTTACTCGCTCCGTTCATGGAATTCTCAGCATACATTTCTATTGTTTTTTTTTTCTTACAAAATTTTCTTGTTTATTAATATTTTTTTTAGATTTTGGTATGCATCGTTCAATAATCCAATGCGCACTTGAATCTCGATGTCGCATGTTGCTACCTGTTTTCGTGATGTACAATACATTTAGAAAATTTCATGATGCGCATATTTTTTGTGTTCTTTGTATGGTACATACAGTTTTTGTTCTGTAGAACAGTATTCTGTTTTTTAGACTGTAACCAATAAGTGTTATTCTATTCTGTATCAGTTGATAATAAATCAAATTCTCTTGCTCTCAAGTGATTTATTTATAGAAGAGTACATTAATTGTACTATTATATATATATATATATATATATATATATATATATATTGTGTAACGATGTAAAATGTTTTATTATAATCTATTATAATAAAAATATAATAATATTTAGCTCTACTTTGTATTGAGCACGATTTTTTTAAAATAAATGCTACGAACTGGATTTTTACTCATCTGCTCTTTCTCTTATTTGGATATTTCGCCCCCATTACGGTAGATCACTCTCTACATTTATTTTTTAAAGTAACATGGATAAAACTAATTTCGAAATCTCTCTAAAAACATAACCAAACAAACGAGATTATTTCGTTAAACTTGTTCAGAAAATTAAGGAGTTACTAAATAATTAACACGATCTCTTCTCATAAATATAAAGATCTTTTTCAGAGACATCTCGACCAAGTTGTAAAGGACATTAATTCGTCTGATAAAGTTTTTTTGTCAACTCCGACATAACAGCGAACTTCTTTAAAATTACTTCTAAGCATTAAAATACTTTAATTAGAAAAAAGCTTAACTAAAAATTATATTAAAGTAGATAATAATATTGATAATATAAATGAAACTAACAAAAATATTATTTACAAACTTAAAATTAGTGACAGAGTTAGCAAACTCTGCGCTAAAGAATCATATATAACAATCAAGAACCATAAACCTGATTTTAAAGCTATTCTTCCCTCCAGGATTATCAACCCTACTAGGCCAGAAATTGGTACGATCAGCAAGATTATCCTCGATAGAGTCAACAAGCTGATTAAAAAGCGACTTGGCCTGGCATTAATACCACAGATGTCACCAAATGGTTTAATAGTATAAATGATAAAACTAATTGTTTATTGATCCAGTTTTATATTGTGGATTACTACCCATCCATTTCTAGGGATCTCTTTACATTGGCTTTGAAATTCGCCACCGAATACTCTGATCTTTCAAACGAGGAACTGAACATTATTATGAACTCTAGAAAATCTTATCCATAACAAAGAACAATGGATTAAAAATAAATCTGTTGACCGATTTGATATTGCTATGGCATCCTTAGACTGCTGAGTCTTTCGACCTTGTTTTATTCATTTTATGTTATCTTAGTGCCCACCAAGATATCAACATATAAGACATAGGGTTATATAAAGTTGACGGACTTATGGTGGTGAAAAATTCTACAAAAGTTAAAACTGACAAAATCAGAAATACACAGGGAATTTAAAAATTCTAAAGTTAAAATCAACACAATTTTTTAAAAATGTAGATTTCCTTGATGTTACATTAGACTTAGTCAATAATACATAGCAACCCTACATGAGAACAAACGCAAGCCCAATATATATACACCCAAATTCTAATCACTTTCCACGCATAATCAAACGCATTCCCTCCTCCATAGAATATAGAATTAGCAATAACTCTTCTTGTGAAGATGTATTTTATAAACATAGCAAATTTTACAACACTGCCTTAAAACAGTGGCCATAAGTGACCTGACATTAAATATATTAAACATAACAGCGATAGTAAGAATATAAATAGAAACAGAAAAATCATTTAGTACACCCCAAATTTAATCAAATGGTTAGTACTAATTTAGAGCAGAAGTTGCTCAATTTAATCGAGAAATACTTCCCCAGAAATAACCTCTCTTAGTAAGATTTTTAATAAAAAATACACTTACATTTAGCTATACTTGTACAGATAATATTGAAAAAATTATTAAAGAACACAATAATAAAATTTTAAATTAATACTTAAACCTAAGTAATAATCGCAATTCCAAAGCAGCAAGCAATAATGATACCAACTTATGTAATTGTTGAAATCCTAACGACTGTCCATTACAAAATAGTTGTCAAACTGATTCCCTTGTTTTCCTAGGTACTATTTCATCTAGAGAAAATCCAACAGTTAAAAGTGTTATATCAGCAGTACCCAAAATTTCTTTTTTATCTTTCAACAACACTGCATACGGTAATGGGGCGTCCCTTTCTAAATATTGTTGGTTCTTAAAAGAAGTTAACAAAACAAAACCCTACGGTAAAATTGAAAATATTAAAAAAAATAAAATAGAACTTGTAAATCTTTACATGATCTATGTTACCTGTGTTTACAAGAAAAAATACATATAAAATTTGATAACAAAGAATCTCTGAATTAACGGTGTTATGCCGGCATTGTCTATCTTTTAGCTTAAAATATAGTTAAAGAAAATTTCATAAATAATTACGTATTACAATTTTATAGCCATTATTTTATTAGTATATAAGACCTCTCCCGGGTTAAGAAGAATGTTGATGCGACAGGTCCAAAATAACCCAATGTCCATCAGACAAGACCTTCAGAATGAGTTTGTCAGGAGTTAACGTAACTAAGCAAACGATTAGTAATGAACTACTCAGAGATGGTATAAAGTCGCGCTCCCCAAGAAAGACGCCACTCCTTCTGAAACGGTATAGAGATGCCAGGTTGAAATTTGCGACAGAGCATAAATATAAGGAAAATTCTTATTGGGAAAGAGTTCTTTGGACAGATGAGAGTAAAATTGAGTTGTTCGGTCAAAATTCCCTGAATCATGTATGGAGGAAAGACGGCGAAGCATACGCACCTAAGAACACCATACCAACTGTCAAATTTGGTGGGGGTAGTATCAGGGTCTGGGGCTGCTTTTCGAATGAATGCAGAAAATATCAACAAATCCTATGCGAAAATTTATCGCTTTCTGTAGAGAATCTTCGGCTTCCTCCTGATTGAATCTTCCAGCAGGACAATGATCCCACGCATACTGCTAAGAATTGGCTTGCTAATAACAACGTTAACATCTTACAGTAGCCCTGTCAGTCGCCGGATTTGAATCCAATAGAGAATTTATGGCGGTTTTTGAAAAATAAGATCCATGATCGAGGTCCAACAAACATCAAAACCTGAAGACAATTACTCAGGAAGAATGGGACAAAATACCTACTAAAGTATGCGAATTGTTAATTAAAGACTACAGGAAGATATTGGTTGCTGTTGAACTTAATAAAGGCTTTGCTACAAAATATTAAATGGAAAAAACATGTTTTTCTTTTGCTGTACGACCATTTTTTAAAGCTCTAAAAATTTAAAAATTGCTATATTTTCTTAACCATGGAATATTATTTAGTTTTATATGCATACATTTTTAGTATGCAATCTGATACATTAGATATATTCCCGTTTTGTTAATTTAATATCTTAAAAATAAAAATATGATATATTTTCATGTGTACAAGCACTTATTCAACCCCACTGTAGGTTTTCGCAAGTCCATTAGCAGTTATCACCCTTTCCTTAGTGAGGGGTGTTTCCTTCCTAACTTTTTTGTTTGAAATAGTGTGTAACTTTAACTTCTTGATTATGTCATTATTTTATGTTCGAGTTATATTTGCTAATCAATTTGGTTGTTGATGTTGTCAAAAGCCAGGTGATTATAAATTATTTGGTTCATTGTCTCTAATTTTGTAAAGCCATTCGGCAAAGTTGAAAAAATAATCTTCGCTAAGACCTGAAGTTTTCACTCGCTCGAAGCCATTTTTAATCATTGGTCTGATAAAAATCCATTGCATACAGCTGACTTTATATAATTCTGAACGGGTTTGACGCTATTCATGATATACATATGAAGGTATCAATCTGACTAGATTATTTGTGAACATGACATTTTAAGTTAATATTTTGGTTTTGATTTGAACCTATCACCAGTGCAGTTGAATTTTCTTATCACCCCTACTACAATTTTTATAACTGACCCATGAACTGATGTATCTGAAGTTTTTAGTATTTACTAACTCTACATCCTAATTTTTTATGATGATTTCAAGGTAGGTGCCACCACTGCTTTCATTACATTTCAAGATCCAATGTTTCTGTTTTGGAAAGTTTTATCTTGACTCCTATTTCTTGGATCAACTGGTAAAGGATGTTGAGGTTTTGTTCAAGACCCTTTTGAACCCAAATGAAAACGACATAAAATTGTCTTCTCTTTATAGATTAATTGGGAATTTGGTATAGAATAATGAAATAATCTATATCCATCTTTCCACATCTGTGCTGACATATTCGCAGGATAGAGTTTAGTAAGGGATTAATTATATTAGTATTAGTATTCTCAATTCCTTATTGTCTTACTCTTGATGAGGTTTGATGTTTTTCGATATTGGCAACTTCACCGTATGCTGCTGTAAGGCCAACAAAATAGGTATATAGTTTGTTCTTTTATGCTTTTGCATCTTTCTGAAGCAATTTGATGACATATATGTCATCATTATACACCCTACCAGAGTGCAAAACCAAGTTGGGTTGTGAGGAGTTAACTTTCGTAAAACGGTGTGGGTCTAGTCAATACAATACAACGATAACGTTCATTACGCATGATCGTAAAAATAACCATAATATTACTTCTTTCTCAATACAGATGTGCTATTCCTGGTTTACTAAACGATACCTACGAAGTCCAAGATACAAACCACGCCGATCTAATCATGGACTATATTCCACAGTACATGAAAGACGGCGAGCAGAAATATAGCAATTGCTATTTCTACAGCAATGAAACACTGGACAGTAACGGAACGATGCATGCATGTAATTCTTGGGTTTATGACAAATCACAGTATCATACATCAGTTACCAGTGATGTGAGTATGTTTTTGTTGTTTTCCCTTTATATTATATTCATTGTCATTATAATTTTTGTAAAGAAAAAAATGGCACGTTCCACAACATGGGACCAGAGAGGTTTTGCTATTGTATTTCTTTATTTGGCTGCCAATAATTTCTTCTTCTTGTTGTCAATATTTGCTTTGTTTTAAAGGTTTCATCTTTATTGTCTCGTACGCTTTTTTTTTATCTTTTTATACATACAATTGTCTATAGCTATAAGTATCAGATTGTTCGGAATGTAATTACGTTTTACCGGAATTTGATATTAAAAAAAATGTAAAATACACCTGCGTTGAAAATCAGAATTCAAAATATTAGCATTAATCTGGGCCTTAACATGGATCTGAACTGGCGAAACAGACTCTTTTTTTCTGGCTGACTTCAGAAAATCAGTCAAATGATACATATAACCAAACATATCATCCGAATTCTAATGAATAGAACGCGCAGTAGAATCAGACCGGACATGGCACAAGAACAATGCGGGTCCTTCGAAGACATTGGAACAAGAAACATGACATTTATATTCAGAATGTTATTAGAAAGAGCAATATAAATGCAGAAGGATGTGTGCCTGTGTATTATAAATTACGCAAACGCGTTTGATAAACTACAACAGAAAGATCTGTTGGAACTGATCTGCAACTTTCATATACTTGCGAAGGTTATTAGAATAATCAGGATCCTATACTGGCAACAAAACGCCTGCATACGGGTAGAAAATGAGTTGAGTAGATAAAAAAAATAGAAAAGGTTTTAATACAAGAATGTGTCTTCTCATCAGACTTATTCAACCTAAAAATGAGGCGATTCTGAAAGAATTAGAATTTCCACTTTGATTTATTTTTGACGACAACAATCTTAACAGCTTAACATATGCAGAAGACATAGTGTTGATAGTGGATACCGAATGAAAACTATAAAATCTCCTACAGAATGCAGTGAAGCATGCGAGAAGAACTGATTAAATATCGACTGTCAGAAGACAGAAAGCATGGTTGTTAACAAACGGATGAGTCCAAAATGCAAATTAAAAATCGACGGTAAAAAGATCAAACAATTACAAAGGACGGAAAGGGCGACACTAAAATCCGAAGATTTATTTGGATAGCCAAAAATGAATTGTAAAAGCTAAGCTGAGTATTAAGAAACGGAAAATCTTCGGAGTTACATAGATCAAACAATTAAAAAGGACGGAATGTTCGACACTGAAATCCGAAGGCGTATTGGAATAGCCAAAAATGCATTCCAAAATCTAACCTGAGTATTAAGAAACGGATATTCTTCGTTACGAACAAGGAAAAATAGTGCTAAATTGTTACGTTATAGCTGTCCTTCTGTATGGCCATGTGTGCTAAAAAATCTCTTCAAAATTGATGAAGAGCCAGAAATGTGTTTTTTTTACAAATGTATGCTGATGATACGTGGGCCGATTATGTGAGCAAAGACGAAGTTTTAGAGAAAATGGAAACACAACGATCTTACAGAAAATTTAAATAAACGCTAGCTTGAATGCAAAAACGAATTAGTATTTATTGACTGGAATTTTTGTTTATACAAATCTGCTACGATAAATATGTACTAATGATATATATTTTAAAACTTTCTTATAAACAGTTGAACTTGGTATGCGGTCGTGCAATTTTCACTCATCATGTGAAAACTGCCTTTTTTGTCGGAGCATTTATCGTTTTTGTATTTGGTGGATGGATCTCAGATAAGTAAGAAATAACACTTTTTTCTTCTTTATTTCATTTTTATTTCATTTTTCCCTTATTTCCAAACAAAATATCTGAAATACAAATTAAAGTAATGATATCGACTTATTATTATATGTGAAAAGAACATGGCTCCAGCGTAATGGAATGGTAGTAAGTGCTGCTTTGCAAAGTGTGAAGTAGCCACTGAGAAATATGATTACCACAGAGAAATAGTTGTCTATATTTCTGAGATGAGGTATTATATACACCATTTACATTATTCGGACTATTGTCCTCATCTTTGTTGTCATATTTATCACAACGTTTCGGCCCTTGTACGGTACGGCCTTCTTCAGGTGGTTGGAATGTCGAACTGAACCCTTTATTTCGCTCGCTGGGGTAGACTGTTCTTGTGAAGAAGACCGGAGCGTACAACGGCCGAAACGTTGAGATAAATATGGCAACAAAGATGAGGACAATAGTCCGAATAATGTAAATAGGGCAATAGTTTGCGTGACAAACTTTTTTATTTGCAAACTATAATTTAGTCTTGAACAAACTTACATATTTAAAGTACCTAGTGCGCATTGCAATCATTGCATCAGTAATAGTTTATATGTAAATGTGAATAATCCCTGCAACAGCTCGAAGTAAATACTATCTTTCCTCTAAAATTATGTTTAGCAGTAAAAAAAATTATATTTCCATAAAAATAGTTTGCAAATGCAGATACAAAAATAATTCCTACTAAGTTACCTACAAATCATGTCAAGATGAAAAAATATAAAATAAAATATAATGTGAAGCAAATAAACTTTATTTCGTATGCTAAAATTTTGAAGCGAAGAAAATGTACAGAACTAATAAATGAATGGAATATATAAAGTAACCAATTTAGAAAATAATTATGTAAATAAATATGCATCCAAAGGTCATGACTGAAAGCATAAATGGCCAGTTTTATTCTCCTCCCATTTCCTTTAATCCCACTGTAGTGTATATATATATATATATATATATATATATATATATATATATATATATATATATATATATATATATATATATATATATATATATATATATATATATATATATATATATATATATATATATATATTTAATTTAAAGAAAAAACAGACCATTTGTAATAATTTATTTCACCAAAGAATTTTATTTTTTCTCTGGATCTTCATACTTCACTTTCAAAAAAGGTGAAACGAAAAATGAATTTAATATTTACACTTTCGACGGGCAGTATTAAGATTATATAAGTTGACATAGAAGGTGGTGAGGAATGATGTGAGAGACATGGTCGTGTTTAGAGAGGGAAGGGGAGATTAAAATTTATTTTTATGTTTTTATATTTCTTTTTATCATAATACTTAATATTGAGGAAGGCGGGTAAGGATCAGACATTGATCTATTTAATCGATCAACTCAACAAAAATGATATGGGGAAAATGACGCAAAATGATGACATATGTTTTGGAGAATTATTTAAACGGTATTTTTGTGTATACTCATATTTGAATAGACGGTTTGTTTATTTTAAACAATATATTTATTTTCGGCTTCTAGCCTAATTATAATAAAAAAAATCTTTTTTTATTTTATGTGCTGTGGACGTAGGCGATCATGGCTCTCCACTTCCTTCTATCCCTTATAGTTCTCAATAAGTTTTGTCTTTTTGCTACTTCACCCAGACCATGTTCTGTCATCCACTTAAGCCCGCTAGGTATGTCACGCGTTGCTTTTTCGCCCTGTCAGTATCAGATTTTCTCTACCTTTCTTTCTCATTACGTGTCCCAGAAAATTTAGTTCCTAATGTTAATAATATTTCCTATTTGTTTGCATCCTCTCCAAAACCTCATCGTTGCTCACATGTTCGGTTATTGGTATCCTTAACATCCTTCTGTAGAACTATACCTATGTTGCCTCGAGTCTCCTCTTTATCTTTAAGGAGACCGTCCAACAATTGCTGTCGTAAAGGAGGACAAACATTACACATCAGTTCTTTGTTACCAACGTTACTGTTACTCAGACCTGTGTCTTCGCACTATCCAGTGGTCTGTGTAGAGAAGGTAAAGAAAAGTGTTTCCGACATATTAATTCAAAGGACAGGTGTGCAGCATCTCCATCGAATTGGCTATCAGGGAAGGGCTGCTAGACGCGAGCTTTTGCACGCCTCAGTCAGCATGAAGAAAGAAAGAAATGGTTTAATAGAATGTCCAAGAAGAAATTCAGATTTTAGACTTGGTGAAATCTCAGGCAAGCATCCTTTGTCCAGTTATCTATCAGTAGACGTATTTATGTCAGAAGAAATCCCAGTCATTAAAGTTTTTCATGAACCACATGTAATCAGCTGTAAAACGCGATGAGTTTTCTTTATGGCCTGGAGAGCAATTTGGATCACCAATCACTTAGCCTTGGTAATTCTGGTATCATTCATGTCGTAATTTCGACAATTCAGGATGGACAATTCCCCATTTCTTCCAATCATCCGATATCCAAGGACATCATTTTTTTTTCAAACAAGATATTGCTCCACATGCTACAAAACTTACCCGCGTGTGGCTCGAACAAAATTTGATTCGACTTCTTCCACGGGCAAGTTAATCACAGCGTATCAAACTTAGTGAAGTGTCTGTACTATAAGAAACACTGTATAGTTGTACAGATAATATTGAAAAACTGTTGCCATGAACAATTGCTTCAACTTCTGTATTCGTAGAGGGCAGAAATTATTCATTTTCATGTGTGCTCCAGATTTCTCGTGATTATTGCTGGTGATTTTGTGAGTGTAGATCAATTCAAACATCAAACGACCTCTTTATTGCCCTTGTAAATACCATCGTCTCTGTTGTTGAGGTAATTTCTTTGGATTTCTAATTCTTCCAATTTCGATTACAATGTGTTATGCATCAATTATTTTTAACAAGATTATAGCAAATTCCATAGTTGCCTGATGGGTTTCTGACCTTTATTTCTTTTCTCATTTTCTTTCCTCTTCGCCGTGTAATCACTTTGTTCACAAATATCAAGTTCACACTTCTTGCTTGAATATTGTGTCTCGTGTCTGTCTGATCAAAAACAAGTCGTTTGCAAATTTTCTAGTGTATGATTTTTCCTAACCTGTTGTATATGTTTTATATTATGTTATATTAAATATCTTTCTTCACTTATTTATGATGTGGTTTACAGTCTATCTTTATTTATAAAAGCGATATATACTGATTTTCTAGATTTTACTCCGACTGTGTTATTGCAATTATATTCTTACTTTCTTTCTAAGGTTCAATGGAATGACGACGACCAGCATTCCTTAGATTTTTTTTTCCTGTATTTAAAATCAGCAGAACTGGCTTCCTGGTTTAGATTAGGGGACTAATCCCTATTATAAATTTTAAAATTATTTTATCAACATCATATTACGTACACATCGGTTTAATTTGTACCTTCATTAGTCGATCAGTAAATATGATCGAAGATTTTAAATTCAAAGAAATAAATTATTTTTTACATTTATTTTCACATCATTTGATGCATTGATTGGTGGTAGATTTTAGCTTAAATGTTACAGTTTTATTTCCACATCCTATATTAGTAATTGTCAATATTAAATCAAAATACACATGCATAAATTTAAATTAATTGCAAATGTGAAAATATTTCTCATCCCCAACTGCATTGAATATCATTCATTATTCATGTCCATGTTCGTTCAATTTTTCTCGTGATTATTGCTGGTGATTTCATAAGAGTAAAGCACCTCAAACTTCAACCATCTTCTTTATTGTCCTGGTAATAAAATAACATTCCAATTGTAAGTAATAAGAATACCTTTTTCCATGACGTTGTCTAGTTGTATTGTTTATTTTGTTTCGGACCCGTTAGGTTAATGTGTAAATTTAAATTTTTCACATGTGCGCATAGATAGATAGATAGATAGATAGATAGATAGATAGATTTATGTAGTCTGGCTTGCTTTGGGATTTGGTAACTAGAGTGACTTTAAACTAATTGCTCGATAAAGACCAAGAAAATGAAGAACGAAGAAAAAAATTTCTTTCGGTCTTTTATTTTATTTGAATGACGAAGTCGCAATTTTCAAGAGTTTAAAAGAGGGTTGGACACCCTAGCCTCTCATTGAATTCAACCCTCCGCACTGCCATCAAATTATTTCGTCTTTGTTTTCTCACCTCCCATCTCCCTTGAAGAGCTACCTGATATCTGTCCTCCTTAATGGCAGCGAATGTTTGACGGTCTCCTCAAAGATGAAGAAGAGACTCGAGGCAACGGAGGTATGGTTCTACAGAAGGACGCTTAGGATAACATGGACCGAATATGTGAGCAACGATGAGGTTTTGGAGAGGAAACAAAAGGGAAAATTATACTTAACACCAGGAAAAGGCAGCTGAATTTTCTGGGACACGTAATGAGAAAGGAGGGCTGGGGGAATCTGATACGCGTGACATAACTAGTGGGCTTAAGCAAGTGGATGACAAAACAGGGTTTGGGATAAGTAGCAAAAGGACAAAACGTATTGTAAACTACAAAGGATGGGGGAAGTGGAGAGCCGTGATCGCCTACGTAAGAAAAATACCATAGTTTCTGTTGCTGAGGTATTTTTTACCTTGCATTACTAATTCTTTGGATTTTGATTCCAGTGTCTTCCGCACTCGTTATTTGTAACAAGATTATAACGGCCATATTCTGTGACGTCACCCTGGTCCTGCTCCTGTGCTATCCTGTGACGATCTAACCCTTGGCTGGTTCGGATGGAAATCTGGTTAGATTCGATATCAGCTTTGTCGTTCCCAGCTCGCTTCCAACGTCTGGTTACCGAAGTAACTGCTTTGATTTCTAGTCTAACCTACCCACGTTGTGATTTGATCTTAGGTAGACGAAATCAATCAGGCGTCGGGCCGTTGTGCAAGCTGAATCCGGGGCAAAGGTGATACCGCACAAGTACATGTAAAAGTAAATCATGAAACAACTCAAAAGATTCAAATGTGTTGAAAAAAATAACAAGTATCTTTATATCTCTTTGCTGAATACAGGACTGAGTCTTTCTCCCAAACCGCTTCTATGGATTTGTGACATTTTGCGTTTCTTAGGCGAGTCTTAATATCTTAAATTGCCTTTCAATAAGCTGTTTTTTGGTATCTTCAGGTGATATTCGTTAAAACTTGTTTTGGTGGTGTGAGTCTAAGTCGTTCTTCAAAAAATATTGTTTTTGGTTAGAAGTCTAAGTCGGAAATCTTTCAGTCAGCTCCTGCGAGGCTGGTCTCCGAGCTCACAGCTCAACTGCAACTCAACCCTGTGACTCCAACTCTAACTGTACTATCTGAAACTCTGGGGACGTTCGTTTATATGGACGCCGACCAAAACCGGGTGGGGGCCTGTCGTGGTTTGGGTTCCTCGATAATTTCAAATCCGCAATAAGGATTTTCTTTATTTTCGGACAGGAAAATTTATCACTTCCCATTTTTGGAAGTCAATTACTTTCTGTTTTAGAGGGGTTCTCCCCCTCTCTGTGGTTGGGGTTAGTAAGGGAATTATCCTCCTAAATTCTTCCTTTCTCATATTGGTATCTCACACCAATCCTCTCAGAGGGCGTCAACAGGTTTCCCTTCTTTCTCATATGTTTACCTTCGCCCATCACTCACGCCACCTCTCAGTCAATGAACGCTCGGCAGTGTGAGTGTGGCTAGACTGGCCTCAGTTTACAATTATCGCTCAAAAAAAAAAGTTAACTTCCTTTTTCCTTTCTTTCTTTTCCATCGGCCAGAATTCTTATGAGTCGTACTGTGGACATTAAATTTTTATCTTAACTTGATGTCATCTGGGATTCATTAATGGGATTTTCGCGGACTAATTATCTGGGTGGTCAACTAAAATCTTTGTCTTTCTCAACATCATCGCATTCTGTCGCCAACAGCTGGTCTAGGTAACACACTTTTATCATGACAAGTTCTGGGCACACAACATATTTTTTTCTCCTTCCAAAACCAAATGATATCTCCGAAAGATAGTTAATGGCTTATTCTTTTTCTCTTTCCCCTTTTCCTTCTTTTTTTTTTCTTTTGGGGTGGTCTCACCTAACTCTTTCTCGGTCGCATGCTTGACCCAGTTTTCGATTATCTTCTAGCATTCTGCTTTGTAAGCCTCTTGACCAAATTGAAATTTTCATTATTGTCATGAGCAGATTGCTATCTTTACCCGTATTCTGTTTTTCCTCGTCGCGTCATGGTACAAATTAATTCTGACAGATCCGAGACCTTACGAATTTTCTATCTTCTGCGAAAAAAAATACCTTTTTTCCGCAAATGAAAATAAAATCTTTACCCATTTTTCTTTTGTTAAAAATCGCTCAGTATGCCTTTCGTTATAGCTTTTTCTCGCCTTAGGTATTTCTCGCTTTTAATTAGTTAGCCAATTACCATAGCTAAATAGTGTCACAATCCATAGTTGTCTGGTGAGTTGATATATTAGCTTCCTTAATATGTATACTTGTGCGGAACTTACATCTTCGTTAGTTGGTCAGTAAATACGTTTTTTCGTTACGTTTTAACCAGTATTATTTATTATAGAATTAAAAATTAATCTTACGTAATATATTTCAGGTTTGGACGGAAAATGACAATTGTTGCTTGTATTCTTCTTCAAGGAATCAGTGCATTCGTTTGTACACAAGTAACCAATGTTTATTTATTTCTGTTTATCCGAGTTTTAATGGCCATCGGAGGAGCCGGAAGTTTTGGTACGCTCCTTGTATTTGGTAAGAATTTTAAAATATTTAATCATTATAAAGTCACTAATTTATTAAGAAGAAGACAGAAATTAACGATTGACATTGCATTTAAATCTTTGAAGTTAAAAGTTGACTGGGAAGAAAGAATCCAGAATAGAGTTCCACTAGCGAGAAGTGTCATAGAAGAAACTCTTAGAACAGACCTTGTGGTAACACCTAGCCATTTCAACTTTAATATGATGATACCTCTACAGGTACCATAAATAAAAGTTCATCAGAACAATTACCACGAAAATCTTTATATAAATGCATCAGGAAGCTACATTACGGCATTGAGAAAGTGATTGAAGCCGAGATGCAAGGTTAGGACCCATAACATTGCAAATTCTTTGTCGGATGTTATCAAAACTCTCCAAATATATTAAAGGAGCACCGAATCATACATAGTAGCAACGTTCAAATCATGGACGAATGATAGACTTATAAATATGTAAGATAGATTCTGGTGAGAAAAAATGTTCACGCATGACAGAAAACTAACTTTCCTAGAAGTATACCTAGCGGTTGATTCAATATAATCTGTCCTCTTCCTGTCAGGGGAAAATGTTAGCCCGAGAAGAAATGGGTCTCTCAGATGATTGATAGAGAGCAGTTTGATTTTGGAGACGTTAAAACTAACGCGCCATACCTTGTCCCAGTTAATAGCAGATTGTTGAGCTTTTTTGTGATCAACTTCCAATTTGGCCTTATAGAACTGATCAGACTTACAATTAGGACAGGAATAATTAGCTGTATCATTAGCACACATACCGAGAATAGATGCCATTAGGAAGGTCATTGATGAAAACGATAGACTCCGGAGGATACCTACATTAATGCAGAAAGATCAAGAAGATTCGCCATTAAGGACAACTTCCATTTCGCGATTTGATCAGGAAGAATGAATCAGTTCAAAAATTCTTCCAGGCAAGAAATCATAACCATTAATCTTGTGGAAAAGACTGATATGTCAAACCCTGTCAAATAGTTTAGAAATATACGAAGCAACATCCTGAGATTCACATTTGTATATAAATCATGATAGATTTTTTCACCAATAATTGTTAATACATCAGCAGTTTATCGAGAGAAGCGAAAGCCATATTGCTTATCTGAAGGAATACCCTGCATTGTGAGATGCTCGACCAATTCGGAATTGATTAGAGCATCTAGGACTTTGTCAAAAAAAGGGTAGAAGGCTAATAGACCGATAGTTTAAACTATCTAACGGTTCACATTACTAACAACCTGGAAAGCAAGAAGCATCCAGGCATTTATTGTAGAGCTTACAGAGAACAGAAACCAGTTGAGGAGCATATTTCCTAAGGACTATTGCAAGGATGCCATCAGTTTCACGTGCTTCGTTGTGATTCAGTGCAGAAATGATAGTAGAAACAATAGACGGATTTATATGCACATCCCTCAACAGTGACTTAGTTCTAGTGGAAAGTCCGGCAAAGATACTCCAGATGAATCAATAGTAGAATTGTAAGAGAATTTATGATCAAAATATTCTTCTTTATCGGCAAGATATTAGCACTTAAATCTAAGTGAAGAGAGGAGGGATGGAAGATATACTCTTATTTAAGACAATATTAAAGAGCCGCCGGTAGTCACGAGAGCTCAAACTATATATATATATATATATATATATATATATATATATATATGCGTTAAAGGTATGTAATGGAAATAACTGTGTTTAATTTTCTTACTATTGATGTTTTAAAAATATTCAGCCCCCAATTTTTCGGAAAAATTTTATAAACATTTTAAAACATTGTTCCTATATTCGCAATTAATTTTATTTAGTGTTGGTGTCATTTGTTTATATAGATCGATATGAGAATTTTAATTTTTTTTATTTTCATGGTGGTGTATACTTGCATTGTCGATTAATATTCCTCTAAAAGGGTAATGTGGACAGGAATGTTCTTTTTAATGTTGTGGCATAGGGCTTGAATCTGACATGTGAAGTAAGCCTTCTTGATAATGCCGTCATCGTGAAACGAACATATATATCTACGCATTTGTCAGAGACACAATCTCCCAAAGGACATTTACATTGATATAAAATGTTGGTCTTTTGCAAAAACTATGTTGACGAAGAAGAGTTATTACGGATGATTAGGTTGGTTGTATTAAATTTAGAATAGTACATAATTGGTTTTATTTTTTACTAGGATCATCAGATTAGTATTAGTTTTCTAAGGATATTTTCATTATGTTTGCAGTTAGAGTATATTTGACTGCAGTATATTAGTATTCTAACTTTCTAATGTAAGGTTATAGTTATAACACAGACTCTTACTTGGTATAACGTAAGTATTTTCTATAGGTAATGCTTAGGCTATTGCCGTAACGACCTTATAGTTAATATGAAGTCTGACTCCATTACAACAAGGTAAAGTTTTATGTGGGGAGGCCGAACGTTTCCACCCGGGCCACTGGTCAAAATTTGCCCATCCCCAGCAAAATCGGCCTCGGGTACAGTACTTGTCTGTTTTTCTCAGTCGAGTCTCTGTCGGAAGACAGAACCTTGACTGAGTTACCCTCCGACCGAAGATGGAATTGTTGTCATCCTCTACTCGAAGACTGAGGTCTTGTCGAGTGCCTAGGACTGAGCCTGATTCGAATGGTATTTACCAGTCACCCCATTGCCGACACAAGTCAAGTTTTATGTGGGGAATCTAATCGTTTCCACCTGGGCCACTGGTCTAAATTTATCCAGCCCCCGCAAAAGCGTACTCAAGTACAGTAGTTGCCCGTTTTTCTCACTCGAATCATTCTCCAACTTGGCTTCAACTTGTCAGTTTTTCTCAGCCGAGTTTCTATCCAAAGACAGAGCCCCGACTGAGGTCATTTCACCCTTTGCTCGAAAACGGAAGTCTTGTCTTGTCGCGATCCTGTCTCCGATTCTACTACTCTCGAACGCATACCATGAAACTTTATATTATTGAACGAGTTCATAGAGTCAACATACCCCGCTTTGAGAATACTATTTTATGAAATAATATTTTTATTTAATATTCGTATTTCACCCTCCACTTTCTAGAAGCTTCCGTTGGCGAAAGTTTGCTTTTCCTTGAACTTGCCTTTTCAGTTTCCTCGTACAACATTTAAACAGGTTCTTCAGGTTTTTCATTAGTGAATTTTTTCTTCGGCTTTTTCTTCGATTTGGATGTCTTTTATGTCACTATTTTTTTCATAGCGTCTATGATTGCTAGAGGTTTTTTAGTTTTTGTTTAATTGTTTTGACATGTCAAACATGTTCTTTTAATTGTTTTGACATGTCAAACATGTTCTTTTGACACAATATCATCTAGAAATCGCAATCCGCCAGCATGGTACCCATGGCTTGTTGATAAATAGCTGGTACCACCTTTATACCAAAAGGAAGCCTGTTAAACTTATATAAAACTCTGTGCGGGTTAGAAAATGTTCAAGGAAACCATCTGAATTTGCATCAAACAATGTCAGATATTTTTGCTATGATGTGCTCAAACTGTTGCGTTTTTGATCAGTTGTCAGAAAACATGACATCAGGCATAAACATTCGTCATGCCAATTTCACTGTGCAAGATATTCTCGAATATTGGCTATTTGGGAATATTCTGCAATCGCCTGTCATCCATAACCATGTGGTGAACACGATTAATGTTTACCTCGGTGGTGCCAGTTGCAGGACGTTCACGCCGTGTATCACCTTCAAGACTCTCCTTTTAGAATATTGATAAGACTAGAGCGTCATCCCCTAATATAGCAACCATGTCAGCATGAATGTCCTGGGAGATAAACCCTTTTATGCAAATAACATCACGATGCCACATTTTTTCCATCTTCAAGAAAAGTCGCTTCTAGTTATTTTTAAGTCTTTTTTTAACAGTCAGATGCCAGTTTACCTGGAAAGAAACAATGCAGGTATTAATAAAAAAAATATGAAATTAATGCATATAGAATTTATCAACATTAGTATCACACCCTCATAGTTAACTTTTCCGCCCACCCTCATAGATTGTATTATACGAATGTTTCAATTGCGAATGCCCTAATTGCCTCAAAGATCATCATTCAAAATCTTGCCTTTTATGTGGACTCGACCTCTGACACAGGTGGGAAATACGTAACTATTTCAGAAACGAGCTTTCCTTTAGTTTGGCACAATGTCATAAATGTAGTATTCATAATAGGAATTGAAACAGTTGCTGTATGAAATGATCAAGCGGAAATTACCTGCGAATCATTACTTCATTAAATGATGCACGCATTTATATTCTAACCCTTTATTCTATTCTGTATCTTTCAGTAACAGAAATTACATCCATGAAGTATCGCTCTCGACCGACAATGGCGACTCAGCTTGCTTTTTCTTGTGCATTACTTTTCATTTCTCTAATCGCATACTTCATAAGAGACTGGAAAATGTTAATAATTATAATATCAGGACCATCAATACCATTGGCCTTATTAACGATGTGGTACGTATATTGTTATAAGTATTCATATTTTATGATTCTTCCCAGAGCATTAGATTAAAAATAGGGTAAATATTTTTATTTCATTTCTATAGGAAAAATTATGTAACTGAAATATTCAAAGTGGGGGAATTATCACCTGCATAAAAAAATATCAGTAAACAAAATACTGGTCTTCACCTAGGTTCGAACACCGACTTCTCCCTTTCATACTTTTTCTTCAAATCACTTCATATGCATAGTACAAGTGTTTATATTTGATACTAGCAGTAGAGCCCGGCGTTGCCCGGGGATGTAACAGTAAGAGATAGATCAAGTATCAACCATCATAAAGACTGGAAAATAAAATTGACAAAGATTATTGTTTAAGGTTGACGGACATGCATGTTTTAATTAGTTTTTTTTTCGAATTGGTCAAACCCAAACTCAAACAAAAACATTGTTTTCAATCGTTATGAGTCTACCAATTGAATAGAATTTTATTATAAACAATTGTCTTGCAAATTAAATTTTTAAAGCATTTTGAATGTAAAAATAAAGAAAAAAGTGTGCAAGACAATAAGAAACACTACCTGCTAAAAGAAAGTGAAGTTTTGTTGAAATTAGTTGAAAAATGTAGGAAATCCGATCCCATATATAAACGAACACACACACAAAAAAACAACCTGGATTTTATAATAAGTATAATACGATATGAGTTGTCCCCCTTTCATTCTCGCGATTAATCGTGTTTTCAAATTGATTTTAAGCAAAAAAAAAATGTGTTTTTCTAATTTTTGGCGCTGTTAGAACCACCGCAAGGTAATTTTACGTAGTCCTGTGAAATTTTGTTGAAATCTGTTGAAAAATGTAGTAAATCCGATCCAATATATAAACGTACAGACACACACGCACACAATCTGCGTTTTAAAATAAGTAAGATGAAACTAAATTGTCGTGTTACTAATTCTCATTACTACCTGTCTCTTTTTCTATCTTTCTCTCTCTCTCTCTCTCTCTCTCTATATATATATATATATATATATATATATATATATATATCAGTATGTGTCAAACCAGTGAGGTTTGAAATGGTTATGAGCACCAATATATATAAAAATGTCTTTAATAAATAAATTGTCGGACCTTGTCCATTTCTTAATATATATATATATATATATATATATATATATATATATATATATATATAATTTATTGCACTTTAGATGATTAATTGATTTGTATATTTTTAATCCTTTGTAACGCGTTTCGTCCTTCAAAAATACTTCTTCAGAATATAGACTGTTTTTATTGATGCGCTCCTATATAAGCAATGTGAAGTAAACAAAATACAGACAAACGTCAGTTATAATTACACATCGTTAAACAACGCAGAAGATGTGGAGACGCTTAACATCAAGATTTTAATTTCTGCTCTCCAATGTATCTCAATGACCTACTTATCTGACTTCAGTCTGCTTCCTGTCGCTTTTGTTTAAGTTTTAAATGTCCCACATTTCAATAGAATTTATTTAGTTAAGGCGTCATGATGTATTTGTAAGATCATTACCTGCTCTTGTAAATAAACTAAAAGGACTGAACACACAGAATTCCCTTATGAAACAGAAACAAAAAGTACATTAATATGTTAAGTCGTACTGATATCAATCTAAAACTAAATGTCTATCATAAGTCCACTGGTAAAATGATGTTTTAATTCATAGAGAAAGTAAGTCGGAAATGCATAGAAATCGCACTAATTTCTGAATCTTCCACGTTAAATTTACATCTAGGTTCATACAGTATATCAAATTTCTTATCAAAAAACCACAATTTATTTATGATATAGAAACAAACAATACATTACATTTCTTTGATGAAATGTCATGTCGCACTGATAATGATCTAAAGGTAAGTGTCTATTAAAAATCAACTGATAAAAATGATCTAATAAACTTCTATTTCCACCATTACAACAAAATAAATTCCGAAAAAATATAGCATCTTCTATTTAAGAGTAATTAGAGTTTGTACCCTTTTTTAAACGACGAAGAGAAATATATTGAGAATACTTTTAATCGCTCCCAATATCTTAATTCCTGTATTATGCTTGTCATAAACCGTATTCATAAAATTGGAAAATAAATAATTAAAAATAATTAAACTATACTCATAATACTACGTATCAACTCAATACCACTTACAATCGGAAATGAATCTATCTAAACACAATATAAAATGTATTACGACTATTTCAAGAAAAAAAAACAGAAATTTACATAATACGAAACAATATCAGCCTAAAATTAAAGCATGAATTTAGATTATAATAAATCTCTAAAAATATATATGTGAAACATCTAGGAATATAAATAAAAGAATATATGAGCATAAAATGGATATTTCCTGAAGCAGCACCCTCAGTCATTCATCGTAATAAGTATTTTATTCAGGTCAAAATATTTAGAAAGCTTAGTAATTTCTGAATTTTCCACTGTAAATATGTACCCCCGCTCATACAGCATCTCGACTTTTTTTTAACAAAACTACTGTTATTACAATGTAGGATATTTAAAAACAATGATGATAAAAACAAAAGCAAAAACATTGTAGTATGAGGACTACTAGGTTGGTTGTACACCTCGACACATTAGACGCCAACAGTTTAAAGTTAAACGTCTCTGAATTTTCAGCGTTTCTCTCGATATATAAATGCAACCAACGTTTGTTTATATTCTGTTCTTTTCCTCATAATATATATGATGCCATAAATAAAAAATATTTAATCTGAATCTAAAATCTCAGAGCACAGCAACAACAGTTATAACAACAACACTAATAATAATGATGGTGATGATAAGTAACATGAGAAATTGACAAAAACGAACGATATAGAATTGTGCAAATGCCTGATAATGAACAATATCATAAACATAAATCAGGTTAACAACATTATAAAAGAGGATCAATACGTATTTAATTCGTCATTGTTGGGTCGTTTTTCTCTGTTACAAAAACGTCCATTTTCTATATAAAGTTTGTTAATTTAATCCACAGAAATGCCAGTGAATATATAATAAAATAATAATCTCCACGCACACCACAAGGTTTGAGCAAGTAATGCATCCATTTGCCATTCACACCATAACTGAAATTTCGCTTTGTTTGATAATGGGTTACAGTCGGTTCAAATAAAATTATTGTCCAGTGTGTGGAAACTTAGCCAAGCATAATTCATATACAAAAATACCATCCAAGTGTTTATCAACAGTTCAATTGCTTTTTTTTCTATTTAGATCAGTTAACGTTTAAGAAATAACATTTTTCCGATTGCTTTGCAACAGACTATCTAGATATATTGACACGATATATGAGTTGATATAAATATACTTCGTCATATCTGCCACCTTGCAGCGATAACTTCTTTCATTTTCCTATCCTGTCACATGATTTTCCATTGATTATTGTCAAGGTTAATCTGAAGACGATAGAACAATTAGTAAAATCATTCAGTTATATTTATAAACAATAGCCTCCATCTAAAATCTGATGATTCCATTATCCCTGGAGTAGAACGCATTTTGAAGGGAGTGTGCTTCTGTCTACCGCTGTAATATTAAATCCAGTTATGTTTTTGTAATTAAATTTCAAATTTCTTTCAATAATGATACATATGTACTTATGCATCATTACAATATGTAAGTCTATGAGTTTTAAATGTTTTAAACAGTATAATTTTATTCATTTTTGTGGGTTTAGGCTTGCACCAGAATCGCCACGTTGGTTAATGAGTGTAAAGAGAGAGAAACAAGCTGGAAAAATCTTAAATAAAATGGCGGAAATAAACAAGACTAACTTTCGTTATGAACCGGAATATGAAATAGAATTATCTAACAGCAATGACAGAAACGTCAAAATATGGAAAATTTTCACTGTTCGAGATCTTCTAAAAAGAACTTTAATTATGATGTTCGCTTGGTAAGAGTCATTATATGTTCTATTTATTTTGTATCTGTTATATTCTTTTCACAAGTTTTTACAATGCTATAATTATGTGTTTAATATATCTCTCCTAGCACCACACACTATGTATACACAGTTATTACATCAAAAGAAAATAATTTTTATCGGCCGAAAAGAAATGATATTCACAGGCCTGCATCTATATATATATATGTGTGTGTGTGTGTGTGTGTGCGTGTGTGTGCGTTAGCCACATCACGTTGAAACAATGGTTCGGAAAGTTAAGCAACGTCGAGACTGGTTAGTACCTAGATGGGTGACCGTTTGGGAATATCAGGTCCTATAAGCTTGGATGTGCTGTTGGTCTAATGGATAATGACTCAGAATTGTTCCAATTTCCGTTGGGTTCATTTTTTTCCTTGACGCGCAAATAACCTTGCAAAAGGTATGAATTCACCCCTTCTCTGCCTCCTGCTATCAATTAATTAGTAAAACTTGTATCACTAAACCATTATTATCTCCGATTCCACCCCACAAAATTCTTACATTCTAAAAATACTCTTTGGCAATGAATAACCTGCAAAGGTTTGATAAGCCGTAAACAAAAGAACCAAGATTTGTTTGGAGGGAAAGATAACTTCAGATCATCTGTTCAGAACAACACAAATTACTGAATAAAGAATTTATCAAATGCCCAAAGAAACGTAATAATACCAATCAACAACAGACAACAAAGCAATCAATAAACAAAGATCACAATAAAATAGCCACAAAACTGTATTCAGATCCACAATTATTTCCACTCAATAGCCTCTCGAATAATGTGAAAAACCGTCAGAGCTACACAAAATGCACCACTGACCAGCATATATAAATAGCCGAAGCAAAACACAACGCACATGGCCTAACGATTGGGTTTAAGAATGAAACAGACCTTTGGCGTTGGGTGTTGACCTAAATGCCCACTTTTATATTTACATATGCGCTATCCCTGATATCGAGCACTTTAATCCATAAATATAGCATAGCGTAAAACTATATATATATATATATATATATATATATATATATATATATATATATATGTGTGTGTGTCTGTGTATGTTTGTGTGTGTGTATGTTGGTGCTGAAAATGTTTTTACCTCCAGATATCAATATTTTATTGAATACGGTTGTTGTTTTTTACTTGTTGAAAAACATGAGAAAGGATGAGGTGAAATCTGGAGTGCATTTATGAACTAGCATGTACGTTTAATGGCTCTTGATCATTTATTTTTTAAACGGGCCAACCACTTTTCTACACCAACACGTGTGTACTACTTTGTAGAAGAAATAGCGGTCTGATCTGATGTGCTTTAGACCACTTGGCCACAAAAAGTATAATGGCCCAACAAGTTTCACTTACCCTTTTTAAAAAAGGAACCCCCGCTCGATCATATCTACTCGAAAGCCCATATCTCATCGATTTCGTGTCTGAAATGTAAACAAATTAATTCATAAGGAATTAATTCATTTAATTTTTAATTCAATATTATTTTTTTTATTACAATTATTCCACATGATACGCATATATATATATATATATATATATATATATATATATATATATACGTATATATATATAAATATATATATATATATACGAATATATATATATATATATATATATATATACGTATATATATATAAATATATATATATATATACGAATATATATATATATATATATATATATATATATATATAAATATATATATATATATACGAATATATATATATATATATATATATATATATATATATATATATATATTTTTCATGCTAGACGCAATCGTCGGCTTTGAGTGTTGACTTCAATGTTCACTTTTATATTTATATTTACATACGCTCTGTCTCTGATATTGAGCACTTTATCCCATAAATATAGCACACCATGAAACTATATTTCTTGATATATATATATATATATATATATATATATATATATATATATATATATATATAAATTAAATTAGGAGATCAGCTGATTCCGCTATCTTGAATTCAGCCTTTGCTATCTTGAGGCGATTTCGGCCAATTGATTTCCTAACGTTTTAATTTTTTTAAATTTAATTAACGCGTTATTATTTTAAAATAAATAAATAAACGCAAGACGTTTCATCTTTGTTCTTGTTTTCTTTTCTGTGTGTAAAAACTGTCCCAAATTCCTGCATATCCGAGCGCTTTCGGATATTCTTTTAGCCATTATCAAGTTTGATTTTTATATATATTTTTATTTATATTATAATTATGTGTTTTTTTATGTATGTGCCTAAAGTTAAGTAAATGTTTATTTTCCGAACACGATCAGTACATTGTGGTCATGTTCATAAGTAATTTTATTGAATATTGGCTTTTCCTTTTTTTTTATTATTATGCCTTCCATTATTTTTAACCTGTGGATGATGCTATTATACTTGTATTTTCTACTTGTCTGTCTCAAATGGAACCCTGTAGGTCTTTGCGTGTGTTTAATTGATTCCTAATAGAACTGTGGCCGGGTAGGTGTAATATAAGTCGTCTACATAGGTACGTATTAGTGTGACCAGTGTAATTATTTATGAGTTTGGGCTGATTAGGAACACAGTGGTTTAAATGGCATTTGAATTCGTAAATAGGATTGGTTCTTTGTAGTTTTGAGTTTGTGTGTGTGTTGTTAATTTTATGATAAGTTTAGTTGTTTTAATTTTTTCTAACAGATAACTTAATTTTCTCTTTCTCGCTGACTGAGGTTGTGTATTTCTTTATGATATTTCTTAGAGAAAATTCGTTTTGTATTGACATTTTGTGTTGACATGTATTTGTTTTTTTGTAGAATATTAATGTTATTGTTTTTATCTCTATTTTAAGTAACATTATTAGTTACTTCATAAAGAAATAGTCTAATCTGGTGGTCGATAAGGTAGTTAGGAAAACCAATGTTATCAAGTGTCTGTTTTACATTGTTGAATTCTTTAAGGAAATGTGAACGAGATGATGAATTCTCGTGTGCACTCTTTAGGAATTTTTCTAAAACTGTTATTTTATATCTAAGTGGGCATTACAATTAAGGTGGCAAGATTTTCTGCTAGTGGGAATTTAGCAGAAAAGAAATTTAATTTAAATTTACTTAATTTTTTAAACATCAGCTTAATGTTAAGATGAAGGTGGAGAAGGTGCTTTTCTCTGCAGATCTTGGTGTAAGTTGAGTGAATGTTACGAGACGCGGAGTGATGAGTTTAACAGAGTGGAATCTTGAGGTAACTGGTTAGGAAAATAATTATTTGGTTCTGAAAATGACCCGTCAGATTACGACCGAAAGCGCCCAGGAAACAGCCTAAATTATGCAAAATTACTTAACAATTTTTGACCCCCTTAAAAATAATTGGATTTCAGATCTTCTATTCCTCTTAAACGTTCGATTACATGGATGAATCATTTGATGAATGAGAGAGGAGACAGCAGTTTGTTGCAAGACAATATAGTGTCTCCATTATCGCTAACTCTACGCCTATCATTTATGTATATTGTATTTTCTCTCTACACACCGGAGTTTAAACACATTTTGTAATATTTACTATTTCTTCATATGTCTTTTGCTAGTGTCTATTATGAAATTTCTTTGACATTTTGACGTTTTACTTTTTTAATTTTTCTAGGGTAACAGTAATATTTGTTTACTACGGATTGACGTTGAACTTAGGCGTTTTGGCGGGTAATGTTTACTTGAATTTATTTCTGAATTCCCTCTTCGAAATTTCTGTGATTCTTTTCGCCGTCTTTTTTGTTGATCGATTTGGAAGACGGAAATTGACCCTTTCATTCATGGTCGCCAGTGGTATAACTGGGATACTTACCCTCTTCCCATATCTGTACGCATCAAAAGGTAAGTGCTTATTATTTTATGTTTTCGACCAGGGGATTATTTAGTGTTATCGGGATAAACGCTTTCGATTTTATGATGTGATGTGATCCCAGCTGTCGTTCTAAAGAAATGTACTCCTGAACCAGCTCTTGTTCTCTCTAAACTTTACACCAAATGCCTCTTTGTTTCCTGTTTTCCAGATTCTTTTAAATCCTCCTTTGTAGACACTTTTTTTAAGAACTCTGGAGAACCCTCTGACTCCTCAAAGTATCCTCCTATTCGTCTCTTACCGTTTTTTGTTAATGCATTTGAGGCTAAAATCAAAGCCGAAGTGGTTAAGCATCTAACTTCGCGCGACCTCCTTTTCAACAAACAATATGGCTTCCGTTTCTTCACGTATAACCTATGTGCTAACGACCATCACTGAATTTGTCTATCAAGTTCTAGATAAGAATGACCAAGCTCGGGCTGTGGCTCTAGATATATCGAAGGCGTTCGACAGAATTTGGCATACTGGCCTTCTACGCAAGCTCAAGTGCTACGGTATCACAGGACGAATATTTGGCTTAATCCAGTCGATCCTAACAAATCATGTAATGAAGTTCGTGTTGAACGGGCTCACTTCCAAATAGTTTTATACGAACGCAAGTGGATGCAAGGCTATATCCTGGGACCTAAATTCTTTCTGATCTTCATCACTGATCTCGCCGATGTCATCACAACTCAACAAGATTTTTATGCATATGAAACTACCACTTATACCTATCTAAGTAGCAAATCCGAAGGATCTGAATCCTTTTTGCATATTCATAAATCTACTATTCGTTCTTACATTGAATACTTTTGTCATACATGGTCTGGTGTCCTGCTGTAAATCCAATGAGGAATCTTGAATGTAATCAATCTTAACCATGCATTTCGACTTCAGTCACTTTCTCATCGATGTAAAGTGGCTTCCTTCTCTCTTTTCCACAAATATTTTTTTCCCTTAGTGCCCAGATTACATGAATTTAAGTCTGCTACTAGATTGGGAACTATATCCCACCATTTTACCGTTGAATCAGCTAGATGCAACCGCCACTTCTACTCTAAGAGTTTCTTTTCTCGTACTTAGCCGTGGAACTCTCTTCCAATTTCTTTGTTCCCTGATAACTACAATCTTCAAAAATTTAAATTCAACGTCAATCGCTATCTTTTCTTTTCTTGAACCCTGTTCCTTTTTTGTCCTTTCCTTAATCTTCCCTATTCTCAGTCTTTTCATTCTCTTTCACTTTCACCCCACTATCTCCCTCCGTTCTAGTGCATTACCACCTTGGATGGGATGAAACGATTTAAATAGAAAAGAGAGAGAAAGACGCAAGAAGCTACTAGTAGTGAAAGAGAATAAGAAGACTTTAGAATTAAATCAAATCCGAAACTGGAAACTAGTCGTAAGCCTCTACTCTTGTTCAAAAGACCAGGGAGGTGTGTGAACTAGACGATAAGGGAACCTATATCCCAAATCTTTTTTTCAGATGGTAATACAACAATACCATAATGAAAAGATTAAGTATTTAACAATTCGACAATGTGAAGGCTTCGATATATTCAAAGTAGAATGTTTAATTGGTATTTTGTGAGGTTCTGATTTATTTACCGTGTTGAAAATAAACTAATAAATATACATAGGACTAAAAATGAACATTCTGAATTCATTTTAGTTTTGCTATAAAAATGAACTGCCCAATTAAAGATATCTCAAAGATGAACAACAACGAAGCAAAAAATATGGTTACTCACCTTTTAGAGAACTGATACTGAGTACCTTCGAAAATGTTTTTTAAACGATAATTAAAATACTTTTTGAGAAAAGCAATCCCTTTCTCTTTATGGTTTCGAGTCAGCCACTTCAATCACAAGAATTGTGTGTGGGGGTATCTGATGTTTTACAATCATACAGTTCCGCACCAACCGAAAATAGGTCACCCTCGACATGAATAGCTGAGTTTATTTATGGTCACTTTAGCTGTTTAAATGGAAAGTTCACTTAAAAATCAATACGTATACAATTCAAATATGATGTACAGTGTTGCTCATAAGATTTTTATATTTCTGTTTTTCACTTGAAACAATTTTCATGTACACCAATCAATTAAATGGCTGTATTCACTTTAGAAAAATACGCCATGGAAGAATTTACTATGTTTTACATGCACTAGTGAAAATTGAGCTTCAGTTGTAATTCCTTTGTGTCTAGATTGCTAATTATTTTTCTTCACCGAAACTATTTTAATATCTTATCTAAAATTAGTTATCACTCTTACTTAACGAAATATTCGAAACATTTTTATGTTTCAAATTTCAATAGAGCAGAAAAACAAAAGACACCTTTCAAAAGTTAAGATAATGATAAAGGAAAAAGAAAACTTCCTTGAAATAAAAAAAACAGTGCTCATCTGCTATTTAATATCAACCTTCTTATATAACATTAAATGCTGGACAATTTTCCTCACAGATGAAAATGAGACGAGTCAGAAGGAGGCTGGCAATATTATGAACTGAATATATGAGCAACGAGAAATTCTTAAGGACAATTGGAATAAAAAATGAGACCTGTATTTAGAATTATAAAGAGACAGTTGAAATTTCCCTGACACCTAAAAATAAATGGAAAGAGTGTTTGGAGTAGTCAAATTATCCGCTCACAGGACATATTCAAGGCAAGAGAGACAGAGAGAAACTGAGCAACATACCTAGGAATGTTATTTTAACTCAATTGCTGAACAGAGATACTAAGGGGGAGAAACACTGCTTACAACTACAAACTATAGGAAGTTGTGAAGAGACATAATCCCCTACGTCCTAAAGGGCTACGGCATATTAAAGAAGTCAAGTTCATTTTGTTTACATTCTTTCTAATTTCAGCAGATGATGAATTCTTATTACATTTTAATTTTATTTTTTTTGCTTTCAGATCAATACTGGATTATAACGGCACTGACCACATTCAGTAGAATGTGTATAGCAGGGGCTATTTCAGTTATCTGTCTTTACACCTGCGAACTTTACCCTACATGCATTCGAAACTCGTCAGTGGGAATTTTAGCGGGCTTTGCGAGGTTTGGAGGTGTTCTCTCGCCCTATATAATGAACCTCGTATGTATGACACATTTTCGAACATATATATATATATATATATATATATATATATATATATATATATATATATAACTAAAGTCTTTAACTAATGTCTTTAATTTAATTGCAAAATTAAATTCGTGGCTTTTTAGCTTCCATTTTTGAAACATGGTTAGAACTGTGTAGCGGAAAAAACATATTTTAAATCAATTAATTTATAATATTAATACCCTGTAAATTTACATCGAGCACTATTTTGTAAAAATAAAAAATACCTATAAGAACACCGGATTATATATCTTACTGTTCTTTCTTTTTATTTATATTTATATATATATATATATATATATATATATATATATATATATATATATATATATATAACCAAGCGAATTATATTTGATATTTCTTGATAAAATTAGAATTTAACTTTTATATAATTTGATCTTCAATCTCATTATCTGATGCAGATTTAAATTTAGATCAGAGATAACCTAATCCGAATGTTTAAGACACACTTTCCTCAATTCCTGATTATTGACTACACTTTTATCAGTAGATTCAACTTCATAACTACGCCAAAGGTTCGAATAAATGCGAACTCCACTGGACAATCAGTTTGATGAGACACATAACTCAAGTTATAGTTGGGATTCTTATGAATAGACCATGTAGCAGAATTAGATTAGAAATAGAGCAAGAATAGTGTCTTTATTCAAGACACGGGAGCAAAAAAAATGTTATTTTTATTATCATAATTCTATTACAATGAACAATACAAATGCAAAAAGATATATTCCTGTATTTTTTAGATTACACAAAAACATCAGGGTAAGACACGGATATGTTTTTTCGTCAAATGTATTTAACCTATACAGTGGGACGATCCAAAGACAACAACCAACATTTAATATTGATGGATATCATCTTGGCAACGTAATATATACATATAACATTCTGTTGATAAGATCTAAAAACACAAAGATATTTATGACAAGATAGTAAAGGAAAATAAGAAGAAAGAATGCATAGTTATAAGCAAACGAGAGGTATGCAATGTATTCGGCACGTCAAAATCAAGCAAATGTAGAAATTTAATTATCTGTGTAGTGTAGTAACACACGACAGAAAATGTGGCAGAGATCAGAAAGTGCATAAAAAAGGGAGAAAGATGCCGTTCAGATAAAAGAATTGTATTAAGAGATAGAAAACTGTTCTTAGAAATAAATAAAAGATGAACTACTACGTAATAGTAATTGTCTTGTGGCACCGAAAACTGAACACTGTCTTCACAGGTAAAGAAGAGACTTGAATTAGCAAAAATGTGTTTCTATCGGTGAAATCTTGAGAATACTATGACGAGAATATGGGAATAATAAAGAGTGAGTGAGGAGGTGAAAAATAGGAACTTCAAGGAAATCGATACTTACAATTAGAAGGTAACAGATTTAGATTTTGGGGTACGAATATAAAATACGAAGTTGAAACTGTGTTGATTGTCGACTTGGAATGTAAACTACATGACCTCTTAAACAGGATGGTAGAAGAAAACGAGACAAAAAGACTAACTATCAACTGCAAAATGACAGAAATATGTCCATCAACAACAAAAAAAGCACAAGATGCGAGTTACAAATTGGAAATATAAACATCAAGGATCGGTTTGAACTTTTAGAAAAAAAAGATCACGTGAGAAAGATATTAGAATAATCCAGAACATTTACTGGGAGCAAACCGCTTGCATGCAGTTAGAATTCGATTTGAGAAATTATGCAAAAATAGAATGGGATATATTACAACGATGCATCTTCACTCTGGGTTTATTTAACCCTTTCCAGCAAGGTGATCATAAAATAATCAGCAATGCAATCAAGATTTATGACTCGTTGGCGCAATAATAGTAGCATAAGATATACAGATGACATCGTGTTGATGACAGATAAAGAAAGAAAACAACAATATCTTTTGGATAAAAGTAGTATCGGAAAACTGGAAGAAGGGACGAACAGTGAATTGTACAAAGACAGAATATACAGTCGTTAGAACCAGGAACAACCCAAGGTGAGAGCTAAAATTTCGCGATGTCAAAATCAGGCAAATACATAAATTAAATTATGTGGGATATGTTTAAACAGAGGACAATGTGATACTGCAATCTGAAAACGTATTGGAAAAACCAATAGCTAGAAAACCAGTAGCTAGTAATGTATCAAGAACCAGGAGAATTTCTTGAAAGATTAAGAAAAGAGTGCTGAAACACGATGTAATATAAGTCTTACTGTATGGCAGCGAATACTGAGCAATTTCCTCACAGATGAAGAGGACACTTGAGGCGATAGAAATGTGTTCCTATAGAAGAATACTGAGAATACTATGGATAGAACATGTGAGCAAACGAGGAAGTTTTAATGAAAATAGAAACAAAAAGTTGAATCCTTGTTAGAATCAGAGATAGATAACATTTATCGGGCATATAATGAGGAAAGAGGGCTTGGAGAACTTGACCCACACAGGACATATTGAGGGCAAGAGTTACATACGGAACCAACGATCAACTGTCTAACGTGTTTCTGTAAATGCATTTCAGTACAGAGATTAGAAGATAGGGTAAAGAGAAAAAAAGTGCTAATAGCTTCTTGGAATAATGGTAATGGTAATATTACTCGTTTGCCTACAAGGGAACATTTTGCAATCATTGACCGAGCAATCAGTGTTACTCTCTGTTGAAATTTATAAAATCTTTCTGTTAAAACCCATTTTTAGGAAAACAGGTTTTATCATGTCCAATAGCTGTTATCACTCTTTCCTTCCTAACTGTTGTGTACGATACACCTAATTTACATAAGTGGAGTACCGACCATATAAATATGGGTTGGTACCGGAAGACGGGAGATAGTAGTTAAAAGAAGACATCGAATCGAGAGACTCTGCCCGACTGCGATTTAGTAAACCCATTATGCAGGAACAGTCTTCCCAAGAATATACCAAAACTAACTGTAAATATTGTGTACCTTTTCCTTGTTTCAATACATTTTGTTTACGTACATTTTGTGTTGTATTATTATTATTCCATGCTTATCCAAGTTTCAACAATGGCGACGAGGTATAAAGAACTTTACGTTACGGAAAAAAAAAGAATTAATAATTGATAGCCTTCAACAATTGGAAGAATCCAGGCTGAAGAAAAAAAAATCATTAATTAAAAGTCGAACATCTAATGGAACGGAAAAGTATTCTGAAGTTTGGACAGTTAAAACTAGTTAAAGGACGACTAAGCTTAAAGGAACGTTCACTCAGAAAAATCTGGAAGGTGGCGTAAACAAATTATGGCGAAAAAAAAAATAAATAAATAAAAAATAAAGCTGGCCGACTAAAAAAAAACATGCATGGAATTAAAAGGAGCACAAATACAACGTGTTGACTTTGAAAGGTAAGCGAACTTGAAGAAAAAAAAAAAAATTTGTTTATTTTTTTTTGTTTGATTGCTCAACAATATTTTATAAAGCAAGACATAAAATTAAAAAAGGCGTAAGTTGTTTCGATTTTTTTTTGTCTGCTTATAGTATATTCGTGGATACACAATTTAAAAGTATATTCTTTGTTGCATGAACACTATCAGTTAAAAATGGAGGAATTATCCAAAGTCATAGCTGAATTGTTTAAAGCCCAGCAGTTGAGTCAAGCTGAGTTAGTCAAATCCCAGCAGTTGAGTCTGCAACAACAAAGTAAACAGTTTGCCTTATTAAGAGAACAGCAATTAGCACAGCAGAATTATAAAGAAAGGCAAGAGGAGTTGAGTCAGCAACGTCAAAGGGAACAGGAAGAAATGTATGTCAAGGTTTTGGAAATTCAAAAGTTAACATTGGAGAAATTAAACAACATTCAGGCAAATGAAAGTAACTCTTCATATTCTAATAACATCATATTTAATTCGTTGGAAATTTTCAACTATGTGCCAGACGAAGGAAAAACGTTTGAAGCGTACTTTAAACGATATGAAGATATTTTCCACACACTGTGAAAACTGGTCGAATTCAAGAAAAGTCAGTCTATTACTAAAGAAAGCTAGGTACAGCGGAACATAGCAAATTTGTAGATTTTTATTCTACCGAGAAGAACAAATGAATTGGAATTCTCGGAAACAGTGAAATTGCTAAAGGAGTTGTTTGGAGCAAATATGTCGCTTTGGCATAAGCGATGGTTATGCATGAATGTAGCAAAATCCGACGATCAGGATTACTTAACATATGCATCTATAGTGAATAGACATTGTGACAATTTCAGATTGGCAGAGATTACGGTTGAAGAATTCAAGTGTTTAATTTTTGCTCAAGGACTGGTATCCAGTAAGAGTGCCGAAATAAGACGTAGTTTTGTCTAAACTCGAATCTGAACAAAACCTTACCCTGCAAAAGTTAGCAGAGGAGTGTCAGCGGGCCGTAAGTTTAAAGAGTCTCAAAAAATTGAAGAAGCTGATATTGCTTATATTAAAAAAGTGAAGAAACAGTCAAATTACCCATCAGAAAAAAATTGGATTAAAAATTCGGCATATTTTAAAAATAGACAAGAAAAATTAAAGGAAAAAAACGATAAAAAAAAATGGTTCCGCCATTTAATTGTACACGGTGCAACGGAAGACACTGGGAGTTAAATTGCCCATATAGAAATAGAAAATGCTTCGTGTGCCACAAGAATGGTCACAAAGGGTCGTGTTGTAAAACGAAAAAAGTCAATAGCCGAATTAGACAAACAAATTCAAATATCAAATCAGATAGAGATTTGAGGAAGTATGTGACGACTGAAATATTTAAAAAGAATATCAAATTTCAACTCGATTCGGGTTCAGATTTAACAATAATGAACTATAAAACATGGAAAATTTTAAAAGGCCTACAATAATGAAGTCAACGAAACGCGCTCGAACAGTGACTGGAAAGGACATTAAATTCGAAGGCGAGGTTGTACTTCCCATGAAATTGAACAGGATAGTTAAAAAAAAAAAAAGTTTTCATTCTGAAAAATGGAGAAAACTTGATGGGTACAGATTTTATTGAAACATTCGAATTGTGGGATAAACCGTTAAACTCTTTCTGCAGAAAAGTAGAAAGTAATACGCAAACAAGACAGGACATTAAAGAAGAATTAAAGAAAAAAGTTTCCGGAAACTTTCACACCTGGTCTTGGAAGATGTAACAAGTTTGAAGCCAAATTCGAATTAAAGGAAAATACTATGCCAATTTTTAAAAGAAACGTAATGTGCCTTTCGCAAGTGTAGAAAATTAACGAAGAACTTGATAGGTTGGAAAAAATGGAATTATTTCGAAAGTAGAATCTAATTCATGGGCTGCGCCGATTGTGTGCATAAAAAAGAAATCAAACCAAGTCAGTCTGCGTTGATTTTTTCGACAGGGTTGAACTCGGTAATTAAGGACTACCATTACCCGTTACCGAGTCCGGAGGAGATTTTAACAAGCTAAATGGTGGAGTTATATTTTCAAAAATTGACTTATCAGATGCCTATCTCCAAATTCCCGTCGAAGAGGAATGTTCGAAGTTACTAGGGATAAACACGCATAGAGGGTTATTCAAGTACAACAGGCTTCCTTTTGGTATTAAAGTGGCACCTGCCATTTTTCAACAAGCTATGGATGTCATGCTGAATGATTTAGACTTTGCGTGCGCTTACTTAGACGACATCATAGTAAGGAGCGAATCGGTCGACGAACATCGAGAGCATCTCAATCAAGTATTTAAAAAGATTCAGGACTTTGGATTTAAAGTCAGTCAAAGTGCGAATTTGGTTTGGAGGAAATTAAGTATTTAGGGCACATAATCAACAAAAATGGCAGATGTCCGGATCCGGAAAGGTCCATTGCGATTAGAGACATGCCGACGCCCACTAATGTGGCGATGCTACAAAGTTTTCTAGGGCTTGCAAATTATTATCAAGCGTTCATTAAAGGAATGTACAATTTAAGAGCTCCGTTGAATGAACTGCTAAAAAAAGACAAGGCATGGGAATGGACGGTAGAATGTCAGAAAGCTTTTGATGAAATAAAGAAAATGCTTACGTCCGACCTCTTTTAACCCATTACAATCAAAACTGGATATTGTAGTAGCAAGTGACGCTAGTTCATACGGGATAGGAGCGTGTATTCAACACATAATGCCAGATGGTTCTAGAAAACCAATTGCACACGCTTCGAGAACTTTGCTCCCCAGGAGAAAGAAGTTACTCTCAGATAGAAAAATAGGCACTGAGTATCATTTTTTGCCATACAAAAAATTTCACAGGTACATCCACGGCAGACATTTTATCCTTGAAACGGATCATAAACCACTGATCACTATTTTTGGTTCAAAGAAAGGGTTACCCGTTTATACAGCAAATCGTCTGTTAAGATGGGGAACCATTCTTCTCAATTATGATTTTCACATAAAGCACCTATCATCCAAAAAAGATAATTCATGCGGATAGTCTATCAAGACTAGTACCGAGTCAAGAAGAAAGATTCGAAGAATCAATTATTGCAAATATCAGAGCAGATTATGAGGTGAAAAGCATGGTAAACAACATTGTAAAGAGAGCTACCGGTTACGCTAAATGAAACTAAAAAAAAGAAGCTGAAAGCGATGATTTCATTTAGAAATTAAAAAGCAAAATGGTAGCAAATGACCAAAAAAAGTGCAGGAGATTTTTTCAATAGGTGATGGAGTTTTATTATATGGTGAGAGAGTAGTAATACCAAAGAAGCTGCAGAAAAAGAATACTTCAGGACTTTCATATGGGTCACCCGGGTATTAATAGAACAAAAAGCAATGCGAAGCTTTGTGTATTGGAATGGATGTGGATATCGAAAACATGGTTCATCGATGTAAAGGGGTGTGCGTTAGCAGCTAAAGCACCACCTATAGTACACAAACTATGGCCCCAAGACGGATCATCCGTGGACAAGATTACACATTGATTTCGCTGGTCCAGTAGAAGATTTTTACTACTTAATAGTGGTAGATAGTTTTTACAAATGGCCGGAAGTACTACGCTGTAAAAAGCCTACGTCAATACCACAACAACTTTTTGCATGAACTATTTGCACGGTTCGGTGTGCCAGAGTGTATTGTGAGTGACAATGGTACACAATTCACTTCTGAAGAATTTAAGGAATTTTGTGAGTTATATCAAATTAACCACATAACGACGCCTCCGTATCATGCGAGGTCTAATGGACTCGCAGAAAGATTTGTCGATACTTTAAAGCGAGCTCTGAAGAAAGCCTCAGGAGTTCCAACGGAAAAGGCGCTTCAGCAATTCTTACAAGTATACAGAATCACGCCAAACCAGAGAACACACTCAAACATGGCACCAGCTGAACTAATGTTCGCTAGGAAAGTTGTCAGTGTTTGACAAGCTTTTGCCAGGAAAAAATAGAGTAAAAAATACCATGTATACAGCGAGAAAAAGATACACTCCCGGAGAGAAAGTGTTTTTCAAGTGCTATAAAAACAACGTTGAGTTCTGGGAACGAGGCATAGTGGACAAGAGAATCGGTGACCTGATTTACATAATTAAAGGGCCGAAGAATACTCATAAAAGGCACCAAAACCAACTTAAAAAGATTACGGTATAGAGCAAGAAGAGTGTATACCGGATGAGAACGAAGATCCCATTGATATAATGTATGATATGTTTCAGGTAGAACCTCCACAGAATACACCTGAACCAAGAAGATCCGGTAGGAAACGGAAGTTGACGGACCCATTGAACGTGAATCCAAAACGGAAAAAATATTAAAATTAGGCAAATGGATCTACAAAGAAATAGCCATAATCATCAACCCATATAGGAAGCCAATTTGAAATCCAAAAGGGATTCCAAGGCTTGGGAGGAGGGTGTTGTGTACGATACACCTAATTTACATAAGTGGAGTACCGACCATATAAATATGGGTTGGTACCGGAAGACGGGAGATAGTAGTTAAAAGAAGACATCGAATCGAGAGACTCTGCCCGACTGCGATTTAGTAAACCCATTATGCAGGAACAGTCTTCCCAAGAATATACCAAAACTAACTGTAAATATTGTGTACCTTTTCCTTGTTTCAATACATTTTGTTTACGTACATTTTGTGTTGTATTATTATTATTCCATGCTTATCCAAGTTTCAACACTAACCTTCAATTTTGAAGTGGTGTGAAATTAATCTTGATTTTGTCATTATTTCCTCTGTAAGTTATATGTGTAATTTGTTTTTGTCAGTCAACTTTGGCTCCTGGTCGAGTGGGTAAAAGTCTCCCTTTGATGTTGATGGGAATTACATGCTTCGTGTCTGGGATTTTACTTATCTTTCTACCTGAAACAACTAACAAACCGATGCAAGATACTCTTGATGAGGTGACGAATAACAAACACACAAATAACAGGTAAGACTTTCTGGTAATGAAGCGTAAATCCATTGGCGAATCTTCGGTATGAATGACTTAAGTTTCGGTCTTACCTTTATTAAAATACGACTCAAATGTAGTTACTTGCAAAATCAGTATTCTAATGTTTGATCATTAAAATATTGTTTCTGGTAATAGCAGAATGAGAACTTTTCAGCATCCCTCTCATACAAGATATTGTTAGAAAATCATCAATATATTGATAAGCTTATTAGTACCTTCTTATATATTCACTTATATATGTCGAACATATAACCAATCCTCTTTAAAAGCTACCATTGACATTTGTAACTTGTTACTTTATATCTCACAAAAAATAATTATTCTTACCTACTTATATATCAATGATAAATATAGAGATTTACATGTTCCTACAAAGTCATTTTCTAAAGGTATCACAAAATAACTCACCTTCACATATAAACCCATCGATCAGACTTAATTTTCAGTTTATTTTTTTTTAAATACGACTCGAACCTAAGACTCGCCTACTCTCAAATTCAATATTCTAATGCTTTTTTTTGTTCATTACGATATTGATTCGGGGAATATTATCAAGCTGAAAACTGTTCAGTATCCCTCTCGTACAATATATTATGATAAAATTATAAATATACTGATAAGCTTATTAGTATCTATTTATATATTCATGGTGTGTCGAACATTTCTAATCCTCTTTGAAATCTTGACTTCTGCAACAGGTTACCTTACATCTCACGGATCCAATACTTATTCTTACCTACTTATATATCAATGATAAATATAGAGATTTACGTGTTCCTACAAAGTCATTTTCTAAAGGTCTCACAAAATAACTCACCTCCTTCAGATTTAATGACCTAATTTTCAGTCTTTTTTTTTTTTTTTAAATACGACTCGAACCTAAGACTCGCCAACTCCCAAATTCAATATTCTAATGCTTTTTTTTTCGTTACGGTAAAGTTTTACAATATTTTGGGAAAATTTAAGGTTACTTTATTTTTCTTCACGTTACGTTTGTGTATAAATACATGACAATAAATAAAAATTTCTAAAACGATCATTAATAATCATTAATGTTTCTGTTCCTAATTCTTCTACACCTTGTAACCCCTTTGTATTTTAGTGGTATTACTGCCTTACTTACAGTTTTTCTGATAAAAAGAAGTTTATAAGCATCTATTTATGTATTCACGGTGTGTCGAACATTTCCAATCCTCTTTGATATCTTGACTACTGCAACAGGTTACCTTACATCTCACAGATCCAATAATTATTCTTACCTACTTATATATCAATGATAAATATAGGGATTTACGTGTTCTAAATGTCTCAAAAATACCCAATAAACAAATAGTTTCTAATAACGGATCTACTGATAATTACACTGGAATGGAAAACTGACAACAATATAAGCCAGATTAAAATATACCCCAACTTTGAAAATACTTGCAATAACCTATATTTAGCCACCGAAAACATTATTATTGTTGTTGTTGTTGTTTAATTTCCTTTGGTTTCTGTTGTATACTCATTTTTTCCGGGTCCCGATCAGAGACCTAAGGTCAGAAATGCCATGATGACATTTTCCACTGAGCAGTTTTGAAAAACAAATCGCACATATTTTAGATAGCGTAAGATATGGGCTGTACTTGTGAATATTTTTTTTGTATTTCTTTATGGTATGGGCTCCTAGGGATTCCTTCAATGAGTCTATTGGAATCCTTTACAATCAGTCCGAAGGCTCCCACTACAGCTGAAATTGTTAATGTCCTCATGTGCCACATTTTTGAGATTTCGATTTCAAGATCCTTATATTTTGATAGCTTTTTGAAGATCTTCAAAGATTAATTGCAGTCTGCAGTGACTGCCATATCAATAAGGACGCACATTTTGTTTTTGCAGTCTCTAATCACGATGTCAGGGCGATAAGCTTTAATTGTTCTATCTGTATGTTTTGTAAAGTCCCATAAAATTGTTACTGGTCCTATCTCTGTCACCGGATCTGGGTGGTGTTCATACTAATTTCTTCCAGTTTCCTATCCGTAAGCCTTGTAGATTTTCCAGTGCAGATATTGGTCCACTCTGTCGTGCCTTATTTTATATTCAGTGGGTGCCAATACCGCGCAACCTGATACAAGATGGTCAGTTGTTACTGGATATTTATCACAGAATCTGCATTTTGAACTAACACAATTTTTCAGTATTTGTGCTTGGTAATTTCTAGTTAGCAAGCATTGACCCTGTGCAGCAAAAACCTAAACCTTCAGTTTCAGCTTTTAACACTGCACTATGTAGCCACTGAAGGGTACGGGGTTTGTCTGCATCAGCTTCTTTGGTACAGGCAGAGTATTGACTATGAACAGGCTTATCGTTTCTGTATCTGGTTAGTTGCATTTGCCTTTGCTTTCTTTTTTTAAGTATTTTGTAGCTTCAGTTGGTATATTAAGCTTTACTTGTATTTTTTTACCCACTTGAAAATCATTATTATTATTATTATTATTATTATTATTATTATTATTATTATTAATAATAATAATTTTTCCTCATATTTCCTTGATTTTCTTGATTTTTTTTGTTATAGCTCACCGACAGGCATTCTACGACATAATTAAGTAGCATGGATTGAAAATGAAGAAAAAATATTTATGAAATCAGTGACGCGAAATAAAGTGCTACATTTTCAGATCATTAGTCAGTTCTCTTGGTGAAGGGGCAAGAGTTCTATACACTTAAATTTCATGACGTACAAATTTACTAATACTTTAAGGATTGTAATAGCTGAGAGCATATTGACATAGATAGATAGATAGATAGATAGATATGATCAAACCGAATAGACTGTTCCGTTCGCCATATCGTAAACATAATTAATACTGAATTATTCGAAATCAATTACATACAAGTTTTCGATCATTCGCTCATTTTCTATTTTCATCTTTGAAATTCTTTCTTCTTTCTTCTACTTGCTTTTCTTCTAAATCATTCAAATTCTTTCTTACCTCCTCTTTTTCTTCATCCTTCTTTTTTTTTACATTTTATCAAATTGTTTCACTTTGTGCTTTTCTTTTGTCTCACTCTCGCCTTCCGTTGTCATCACTCTTATAACTTATCTTTGAAATTTATGAAGCAATTTTATTACATTTTATACAATTATTAACACTTTTTAACAACTTCGTTAAATATATTTCTTTTATTTTAGTGCATGTAAAGAAGGCGAAATGGACGAAACAGTCGAACTCAATGCGGTCGCATGAAAAATTTACAAAAACAAAGGGATAAATAAACACTCATTTCAAACTTCTTAAATCATGGTGATCTGAAATATTGCATTTTTTTGATAACAAAAATACAATTAAAAAATCAACCTCGTAAATGTATTGTTAGATAATTAAGAAATATCTTGTAAGATGAAAATAAACTTTATTTTCCGGTTTTTATTTTTCCAAAATAAACAGATTTTACCTACTTATATTACTTATATAAATGACTAAGAATATCTCTATTTGGGATTTATTTTAGTTTGTCTATACACATGAATATCCTATATGATTTAGACGAACAAAGTAAACGTCACTAGAAAACTAAGACTGGTCTCATTATGACACGGACCCAGATGGACATTTTAAAAGACATTATTTTCTTTCCCAAATCAGCAAAACAAATGTACACTATAAACGTAGAAACGAAAAAAAACTATAATGTTTCATTAAAAAACAGAAATATTTATTTTAATAGTATTTACATTAGTCGGACTATTGTCCTCATCTTTGTCGCCATATTTGTCACAACGTTTCGGCCGTTATACGCTCCGGCATTCTTCAGGTGGTTGGAATTTCGAACTGGACCCTTTATTTCGATCGCTGGGGTAGACTGTTCTAATTCCACGTGCCATGTTTGATGGATGTCAGTTATCAGTTATCTCCTTCTAATTTCCCCTCTGAAAGTTCTCCACAGACAGCTAGTGAGAGTAACATCGTCAATCCTCTTCAACAACTATTTCATTATGCATTGCAATATATGGATAGCGAAGAACTGGTTAACAGAAGAAACTTTCTCCAACTTAAGACGTTTTTGTTTGTAGGCTGACGAACGGAGAGAAGAGGTTGAGATTAGATTTTGGACAGTAAAAATTTATCATCAGGTTCAAGACCAAGCTTCCTCGAATGAATTGTTGAACAGACTACCATTCAACAGTCCGAGACATTGCTGTTGTTTTTGTGATATTTTGGGAATAATACAGACAAATACTAACACACAAACATCCTGTATTTAAGTAGACAACAGAATCGCAGATTTAAATTGATCAAGTGTAGCCACTGGAAAATAAGCCCTGTTATTTTCATCAGCAAGCAAGAAAGAAATAGAAAAACTTCCTTAGAAACAAGGAAAAGAGTGCTTAACTGTTATATGATAATGTCCTCTTCTATGGAAGTGGGTGCTGAACAATCTTTCAAAGACTTGAAGCAACAGAAATGTGGCTCTGCAGATGGGTGCTGACGATACCATGAGCCGAACATGTTAACAACGATGAAGTTTTAGAGAAAATGGAAATAAAAATGAAACTTATACTTAACATCAGGTAAAGATAGTTCAGGTTTCTAGGGCACATAATGAGAGAGGAGGGGCTTGAAAGATTTGTTACTCACAGATTGAAGTCAAGAGAGGTAGAGAAAATCAGCGCATGAGATAATGCGCTTGCGTAAATTCATGGCAGAACTGGGTTTAGGAGAAATAACAGAAAGATAGAATTCATGAGACTGGAAGTTGTGGGGAGCCATGATAATCTAGGTTTTGAGGGGACACGGCACATAAAGGAGAATAAGAGCCGTGTATTTATTTATTGTTGTAACGTTTTCCACTGGCTCCTGAGGTCATTCAATGGCTTCCTCAGATCTAAAACATAAATACAATGTGGGTGGAAAACATCTATTCGCGAAAAGAGACCCCCAATAGATGTAACTGGGGGTTGTTTTATAAAATCGTCTCCCCGATCTCATTCAGGAATATCACTGCTTATTGTTGAGAAAATTAAACATAATTTATGCTTCTTTCTGAGAAATAAGGACGGTAAATTAAAATACAACATTTGAAGCATTCTTTTTAGGAGGCAAATATAAAGACATTACAAGAATTTATTTAAAAATTCCTAACTGGAAACCAGCAGCTCTAAATGAGAAACGACTAACTTTTCTCTTTATGTCCGAAGGGAAGTAACCGTTGAGATTTTCAGATATGAATGTATTTTGTTTGAAAAATAATTTATATTGTAAAATAATTAATTTAAATAATTTATTTATTTGAATAAAAATGAAATTTCAATCTTATTGAAAAATTTAATTTTATCAAGTATTTTAATTTTAACTATACGACTACAGTCGGTCTGAAGTTATTATGCAAATCATAAAGTTAGAACATTTTCGTCAAATTTTAAACGATTGTTTTGGACGTCAGAAAAACAATTCAGTTACATTTTAAGTATTTTCAACATGTTGCATTAACGTTTATTTGATTTATTATAGAAAATTGCAGTATGGAGTTATCATTCGGTTATTATTCAGATTTTCATAAAGCCTCTGAAATTAAATAAAAACTATTTTTCCATAATATATGTTGAAACGTGAGGAAAGGATCTAGCAAATAATGAAAAACAGAAAATAACAAAGTTATTGAGTGTGTACATTATTTACATTATTCGGACTATTACCCTCATCTTTGTCGTCATATTTATCACAACGTTTCGGCCGAAAATCTATGATTAATTGTGAAGATGAAATTATATGAAGGTGGCAAATAATATGAAAGCAAAGAAAACCTATGGAAAGCAATTACAAACACCATGCTGGAAATTGAAGATTTTAAAGTAAAAAAAAATAATAAAATCAATGAATAGATTACTGGCTGTTATGGAGAAGAAGGGTTACTACATTAAGATGTAAATTTATTCAACGTCTTATCATATATGTTTGTTATTTGTTCTATTATAGGTGCTGATCATGATGATTTTATTACCTTGTTATTGAAGTAAAAAGTTTTTTTTTTATTTTGCATAACTTCAGACTGCAGTTTTTATAAATTCAATAACATTAATAAAACATGTTGAAATTGATGCTTTGTTTTGACGTTTAAATTAATCGTTCAAAATTTGACAAAAGTTTTTCAAAGCAAATTCGAGTTGTTTAGTTTTATCTGATTTGCATAACTTCAGACGGACTGTAGTATTAGATGAATATTCCTTGATCTATTTCTGATGAAGAAATGTGAATGTACCAGATATTTTTATTACAACATAATTATTTAAAAAGAAACAAAGAAGCAAAAAGCGAAATACAGAAAGTGAGAAAGAGAAGGAGAGAAACCCATAAACAGCGAGTTTGCGAAAAGACGCCAAGTAGAATAGCAGACAACGAGAAAATAGATAAGAGAGAGAGAACAAAATAGATGCACGAAATAGATATAAATAAAGAGAAAATATTAAAGAAAAGAGGGAAAAACTTAGACATTGTTACAGATAATCCAATATTTTGTAGCATATAAGAAGAATCTCATATATAAAGATTACAGCCACAGTTTGTATGAAGTATTAGAAAAATAAACTTCAGAAAAATAAAAAAAATTGAATTAAAAATTTATTTGACTTTGAGGAAGAGGTTGTAAAGAGAATAATTGTCTTTCATTTTTTCGCTCAGATTCCATCTTTCTCTTTGACCTTTCTTTTTCACTGTTTCTCTCTTTCTTTCTTAGAATCAACGTATCTGAGAAATTTCATCATTTTATTACTCCCTGCTTATGACATAATTTTTACTGATTATTACTTGCTTCTATTCCTGTTGGAATAATACGAATAAACTAAATTCCGGAAAAGATAATCCGGAGAGAAATTTATTTAAAAACAAAGAAAGAGATAGAAAAACGAAGGCGAATAACAAGAGAAGAGAAGGAAAGAGAACGAGAGGGGAAAAGAAAGTAAACAACAGCAACAGAAAAAAGAGCAAATAGATAAGAAATAGTAAGCAATAGAGGGTAAGTAAGAGAAATAGAGGGGAAGTAAGGGAAAAACAGCAAAAAGTTTATGCATTATCACTTAGATATCATGTGGCATAGAAGACGCGCGTCACCTGTAAAGAATGCATCCTAAGCCTTGCATGAAATATGTTGAAAAATAATTTTTAGAGGAATTTTAAATCTAACTCAAATAACATTGCAGAAGATTCGCAGATCACAGGTTTTTCGAAAGTCTGACTTTCACCGCAGGATGTAAAGTGCTTCTTTTTGCCTCCAAATATATTCTTAAAAATAATTTTATTTTGTGGGTATATAGAGCTCATTTTGGGGCCTCACTAAAATCTATCTTGTATCTTATAACTGACTGTCACTATGTTTGAAGCTCAGCATGCTTTAGACAAATTATTTTCTATTTAGTATTAGTAAAATGCACTGTTAAGTTACAATCAGATGTCGCTCATAACAATCTGAGATAGATAGATAGATAGATAGATAGATAGATAGATAGATAGATCCTAACATAATTAGAAAATATTCTTGAAAATTCTCATGTCACAGAGGCAGCAACGCCTCCCAAACTGAACATCGCAAGAGAGGAAAGAATGGTCATTTGAACTTTGATGTAAAATAACCACAACAATGATAGTAGTAATTCTTAATTAACTTATTCTCGTAACAACGAGATACAAATACAAAAATGCACCTGGCCAGCTGTTTATATGATATTGGTGAAGGTAACATATGTGAAAATTCCATTATCTAATGAGACCTTCCATTTCTACTCTACATGCACCTCTCCTCTGACCACAGGGCAGATTGACATGGTCAGCTGAATGTTTGCTCCAGAATGTGTGTGCGATTGTCCTCGCATTTGTGGTGATAGAGTAGGTCGTAAAATCAATCTGGGTTTGTTGGAATGCGAATTCTGGGTTAAACGGTGGCATCAAGGGCTCCTTATGTTGTGACAGGACGATAGATTTACATTTTTGGCATTGTGTGACACCATTTAGGGTTGCTAAAAGGAGAAAAAGAAAAAGGAAAGAAAAAAAGAAAGGCGTGAATTAAAATTAGGTGATAAGAAGCCATCACGAAAAGGACACTAAGCGGTGTTATTTTTCTGACAAGGAAAAGTGGTAATTTTTTTTATTTCCCATTGTCGAGAAGGAAAAAAAGAAGATACTGGAATTAATCTGATTTAGGTTACGGGGCGGGTGGAAATTCGAGGTTGGCCAAATAACCTCAGAGACAGAAT